GACCTTATGTAAACACTGATACAAACAAATGAATTGTTGAGGATAAAAATGGCATTCATGAGTCAATTACAATTTAAACAATGACTAACTCAATACAAAAACTCAATTATTTAAAGTATAAAAATATTACTGTAGTTACGGCTTTTTAAAATCCTTATCTTTTAGAGGTACATACTAAATTATTTAAAATGATATGTGGGATTTGTTTCAAAATAATTCAGAAGGGTGGAAATGGATAAGGGTATGGATTAAACAAGACTGACCCTGAACTGATCATTGTTGAAGTTGAGTAATGGATTCATGGGGGTTCCATATACTCATCTGACTAGTTTTCCACAGCAAAACATTTTTTAAAAGGGGAAGTTAAGGCAATTTGGCTCTATCCCTGAAAATGTTAAACATCCATATTCTTGCCCTGGCCGGTTTGGCTCAGCGGTTAGAGCGTCGGCCTGCGGTACAGAAACATCCATATTCTTTGATTGAAAAAGTTCATTTCCAGAAATTTATCCCACAAATGTGCAAAGACATATTCTAATATTCATTAGACTGGTTTTGTAACAGCAGCACATCTGACAAAACCTAATGTTATAGACAATATATCTTTTTGTTTAATCTCTATCTTTCCTAAGTTTTACGAGGTCTAATCCAAGGTGATAAAAAAATGCAATTTCCTTCCCATGTGGAATTGTATGTACACAGATTTGGGGGCACATATGAGGTTACACTAGCATAAGAAGGTCATCTATAAAATCTCCAATGAGAAAAATGCATATATTATCATCCCCAATACAAACATTTATACACACAGTTTCACATATTATTTCAGGGGTTTATGAGATGCCTGAGAACTTGAGGCCCACCCAAGGTTAGGTAGGCACCACTCATTTTTGGGTTAATGAAAATCCTTTCAGTGACCTGAAATACATCTCTCTATTGTAGGACAGCAGATATATCATAAAAAGTGTAATTTTATAGCACACACACACACACGCGCGTGCGCGTGTGTGTGTATTTCACATTACAGTTTTTCTCCTTAATGTTATATAGAAAGAAGAAAACAGATGTTCAGTTTTGTTGTTTTGCCCAACATAAACTCCTTCCTAGAGACCGAATAAAATGCACTATGGATAAGAGTTTGCTGCAGTCAATTTAACAAATGTAAAACAAACAGAAAGAGGTACAAATGCAAAACAGCCTAATGTGGAAGTTTTCCAGCCCATCGAAAAAAGTGCTGATAACAGACAGTGAGTAACCAACTAATTCTATTAAGTTGAATTCACATTAGGTATATGTTTAAATTTAACACAAAACCTGCAGTTTCTATTAAGAGAATTGTAAAATCTGTTCTTTGGATTCTTTAGATCACTATAAAAAATTAAAGTGCAGAATTATGTCATTATAATTTAAGAAAAAAATCAAAAACTGTTTTTCGTATTCGAGTGTCAAAAGAAAGAACTGTAGGGCTCTCAAGCACTTTGGTTTTGGTTTTAAAGGATTTCATGCATCAGAACACTGCTTTGCTGACTTCTGCCAGAAGGGTTACACAATACAGCAGCCCCAGCTAGGCAAGGGCAGAACTCTTCTCTTCCCCACAGAAATCACTAGGGGCTCCCCTCTGCTCCGCTCCAGCTCCTGTCCCCGCCACCTCCGCTTCATCTCGGCGCCCTGCAGCAGCCTGGGAGACAGACCAGGCTGCAGGGTTGGGACAGAGGACATGGTGTGCTTAACCAGCTACCATGGGAACCATAAGCACTTTCTCCACATCCCCTTCTTTACCTCAGGGGAGGGAAAAGCAATAAATAGTATAAAGTAATGAAGGAAAAACACCCGTCGCTTTTCCTTTCTTACTCCAAGTTGCTTAACCTACCACGTTCCCTACCCTAAACAGTCTTCTCGTTACCACAAGGAAAGGCAAAATGGAAAGAAAGGTTTAAAAGGAAACCATGGCCTTCCCTCTAACAGGTCCCAGCTCTTATGTGACCGGCACCCACACCTTCCCTGTCCTGTCAGAGGACATCTACAGCTTGTCCAGTTCAGTCACCATCTGCTTCCTGGCTCTGAGGGACGCACCTCAGACGTCACCTCTGCTCATGAGGAAGGAAACAGGGTCCCAAACTCAAAGCCGTGGCCTAAGGAGACGGCACACGTGAGCAGACAGACGCCCAGGTGCAAACAAAGGGAATCCTTACAGGGCCTCTCAAGTTAGCTTCTTCCAGAGAAGCTGGGAACCCAGGTTTTTATGTGTGATCTCCTCATTTTCAGTCAACTACAAAAACTCTGTAAGACTTCAGGAGACCAAATAAAAGCTGCCTCAGTTAAATAAACTGAGTAAGGCCCCAAAACCCACTTGTGAACTTTCCCCTAGAGACTTAAGAGAAGAAGCCACAGCTTCCCTGACCACTGTTTTATGCCTCCTTTCCTGACCCCCAACTCCCACCCCAGGCCAAGACGACCAGAGGGGACCGTGGTGCCTGCTGGGAGGAGGAAGAGAGGCAGGCCCGTCTCACTGCACTGGGACGGGGCACGCTGAGCTTCTGACAGTCCAAAAGGTGGAGGCCGAGAGTGCCCTCCCCTCAGAAGCACTGTCACACACAGCGGCTAGGTTTCACACTTCTGCTCTATAGGGATAAAAGGGTTTTTGTTGGCTAGATTGGGAAAGTTATCTATCAAATATAATAATTTGTCTACAGGAAAACTTATTTAGATTCCCCCCCAAATACATGCAGAAATAAACCTTTGGAACACTATTATTTGTAAAATCAAGGTTTTCTAAATTCTAATAGTAACACTAAGTTTTAAGACTTGCTCAGTGATCACAGATACATTTAAAGAAATTACAAAGGCACATTAAAGAATGTATTCAGCCCTGGCCAATTTGGCTCAGCGGTTGGAGCATCGGCCTGTGGACGAGAGTCCTGGGTTCGGTTCCCTCTAGGGGCATGTACCAAAAAAAAAAAAAAAAGAATATATTCAGCCCTGGTCGATTTGGCTCAGCATTAGAGCGTCGGCCTGCGGACCAGAAAGGCCCGGGTTCGGTTCCCTCTAAGGGCACATACCTCGATTGCAGTTTGTCCTTGGCCCAGGTTGGGGTAGTGTAGGTGGCAACGACTCAATGTGTCTCTCTCACATTGATGTTTCTCTCTGTCTCTTCCTCCCTCCTGCTCTATCTGAAGATAAATGCAAAAATGTCCTCAGGTGAGGATAAAAAAATAAAATAAAATAAAATAAAATAAATACAAAAATGTCCTCAGGTGAGGATTCAAAAAAAAATAATGTATTCAAAATTAGGTTTTAATGATTAGTCTATATATAATATACTGGTATACATTTTGTCTAATGACACAACAGGGAACTACAGTGATAGCAACTGAAGCTAAAATTTTAAAGCCTTCGTGTTCCCACTCACTCGCCTGTATCTCCTCCCCAGTCTTCCCCTCTGATGCCATGAGAACTACAGGGCTGTGAAGAGAGATTCCCAAAAAAGTAGAAAAGAATTTGTTAAAGAAATATGGCACAATAATACAAGAGCACACTGGTGGGCACAAAAAGGTGTTATGATTTGCTTTTATACAGGGTAGTGTGGAACGTCACCGAGAAAAACCAAACGTTCTCAGATTATTTTCTGAAACAGGAATGCATGTGACTGTGGAGCTCAGACAGAATTCATTTTTTAAAGGCATAAAAGGCAGGCAGAAGCATCACTCTCCAACTGTATCAAAAGGTTTGAAACAGCTTCAGTTTCATAATTGTAAAAAATGTACAAAATTTTTATGTCTAGTAAAATTTTAATAAGTATAATGACAATAAAACAAAATTACACCAAAACAATAACAAATAAACCCCTCAAAACCCCAGAGAATACAAAACCGGCAACAGTCCAAAAAGGTCAAAATTCCCTTGTCAAAGTATGGGCTAAAGTTTCTAGGTAATTTCCTTCTGAAATACATTTTATGAATCTACTACAATAAATGCATAAAGTGCACAAAAAGATATAATAAGCACCCAACAGTCTGGGGTCACAATACCAATATTACACAACAAGCAAGAATAATATTTTGAGGTGTTACTTTTAGCTTAAGTCTTCCCCTAATCACATTTGGTTTCCTAAGTTCCTCAAATCAATAAACAGTTACTCTTTTGTTTATATCATAAAAACAGGGTTTATATAAGCAAACCCATCCCTTGAAATTTTAAAGCCAGATTAATGACTTCTGGAAAAACTATTTATAAAAGTGATTTTGCTTATGTATCTTGTTTTTCACTCCCTGTTCCTTCAAAACTTGAAGGCTGAATCTTTTTAATCAGCTTTGACTTATTTGGATTATAATCTTCCCTTTGCAAGCAACAAAAGAACAGAGTAAGCAGAAGACAATATAAAATAGTAGCATAGGTAATAAACATATATGAACTGAATTACCTTTCATAAATTTAAGCCTGATTAGTATGAAATAATTTGAAAGTCAAAACATGTGAGTTTTCTAGGTATAGCGTCAAGTCTCCATGGTTGAACCAAATGTAAAACTTTCAGGGGAAAGGAGAGAGGAGAAATAAGTGGTAGATTTTTGTATTTTACGAATGTACAAAGGCTCAGATCTGATGATTTCTACTGAAGCTGACATTTTCATATTATAATATTCTTAGAAAAAGCATTACAAGGAAATAGCAAAATATTAATAGGTAACTTTAAATGACATGAGGTACATTTCCTCTTTCCTTTCTACTTTTCTGTTATTTCCAAGTTTTACAAAATAGGAGTACATTACTTTTGAAATACTAAAAAGTCTAATTTAAAATAGTCTTTATGTTAGATACTATAAATCAATGTGTTGTAAGAAAAGCAAGTCCTCAGATCTATAGTTTTAATGTATTTTTAAGTTAAAAGAAATTTTATGTTGGACACCTGAAACTAATGTTATATTGAATGTAAAAAGAAGAAAAAACTTTATGAAATCTATAGATCTGTTCTTGAGCCAAAAAAAAAATTATAACAATAATCTCACCTGTTCCCTTCCGCGCAAGATCCAGACTCCACGGGGGTTTCGTGGTGGGTGTGCCATCACCCCCTGGCGAATGCTGGGGCAGCAAAGCAGACCGAGAGCTAGCTGGCCGATATTTAGAAAGCCCTAAAATGCCAAAGGAGCTGAGTTAATTTGTTTCCCAAAAGGGGGGAAAAATGCCCGATAGGTTTTTATAAGCTAACCTTTAAACCAGAAGCAGTTCAACAGTAAATTTTAATAAAAACAAGAATGTATTTTTACTGCTGAAGATACCATTTAGTTTAATCCTTTGTCATGGTTTCTATATACTTAAGTCTGAGAATAATACACATTCAAGAAAGACAGTAAGTTAACTGGCTTGCTGAACATATAAAATGGATTCTATAATTGTGAGGCAGAAATCATGTCATATTTCTTAATATTTACATGGAACTTTGCATATAGTAAAGACTGCCAGCTACTGCCCCTCAAAGTTGCTAATAAATTCCATTATAATATTTACTCAACAAACAGATAAAAAATAACTTAGGGGTTACAGAAGATATTTAAAATAGAAAATGTTTTAATGGTATAATATGTACAGCATTGTAGTGGTTTTCAGGAGGCCCAAGACTCTCTAAATTATCAACAAATAAGATACATAAACCAGGTAAAACATTCATCTCTTTGTGTCTTTCATTTGTCACATGGAAAAGTTCTAAGATTTGGGTCTAGCCCTGAGTTGGCTATTACTTATGTTTCATTTAGGGCAAGTCATCTGATATCTTTCTGCTTAAGATTAGTTATCTGTAAAAGGGATAGAATAGATAGAGAATTGTTAAGATCTCTAAAAATTATAAAGCCAAGAAGTTCATGACCTGTCAGTTTTCAAATATATTTAGGCTCATATCCTATCTGAAGTCAGTTCTCAAAATCTACTACCTCATCCTGGATTACAGATAGTGAAAAATAAACTAGGTCTCACAACTAAAATTAAACAAAGCCAAACAAACACAAAGCTGACCAAGGTGGAAAAGGACTCCGCCCCAATGTGACATGTTAGAAAAAAACTCATTCAAATGTAAAGAACGTAAAAGACAACAGGCATTGGGTATGAATAGGATTTCACAATAAAAATAAATAGTAACAATAACAAAAAAAAGTCATATTTACATTTAAAAAGTATATCATAAAGTAAATAAAATTTTATAGTTAATCTTTTAAGCTATTACATTTATGACAATAAGAGTACTATGACAAACAAAAAATGATGATAAATGAAAATTAATTAATTAATGGGCAGCATTAACTTTAGTCAAAGAATTTTAAATTATGGTTACATTAATAAAAAGAAACCAGATCTGTATTTTAACTTTGAGGTTAAGCCTACTATAAAAAAAAAAGAGAGAGAAAGATAAAGAAAGACATTAATTAAAGTTATTGGAAGACATATGATGAATGGATTTTAAGAAAAACAAATCCAGGGGGTGGGGAGACAATGGGATGAAGGAAGGTGAAGGGATTAGCCAAAGAACATATACAGTATGCGTAACCCATGGACACAGACAACAGTGTGGTGATGGCCAGAGGGAGGGGCAGGAGGGGGCTGTGTTTTGGTGGGCAAAGTAGGGGGAAATGGGGACATGTGTAATAGTGTCAATAATAAAAATGAAGTAAAATAAATAAAAATAAAAAACAAATCCAGAAGCATGCCAAATATTAAAAAAATAAAATGGAAAATCAAAAGGAACACTTATTTAATTTATTCCTTTGCTAATATGTGTTATAATCTGATACAATCTAATATTTTATTTTATACCAGCTTTTAAACTTTATAGCTGTTCATTTGAAAATAAAGCTACACAACAAGCAAAATGGCGGCGGGGTGAACGGAAACTACACAGACCGTCTCCCAGAACCAAACTGGAATTACAACAATAACACAGAGAAATCGATGGGAAAAACCAACAGAAAAGCAGCTTGCGAGGACCATATAACCAGGGACACTGACTCCATCCTGGTAGGATGGCGAAGGCGCCAGACGGGGGCTCGGCAGCGGCCTCAGCTGGGAGCGGCGCCCTCGGGTCACACTCCCAGGCGGCCCCACAGCGCAGAGCCAGGACAGAGGCTAAAACAGCCACAGCCACTCACCTTGGGCTCCGGCAGAGAGAGAGCAGACTGGACTGGAGCTGTGTGGGGACACTCGGGATGTGGAGGGCGCTCAGAGCTGAGTGCAGCCACGCAGGACGGTGGCCATATTGCTCCTTCCCAGGGCTCTGAGGAGAGGCAGCAGCCCCTCCCTCGAGGATCCAACCCCACCCTGTGGGCCATTGAAATGCTAATTGAGGCTCATTAACAACCAGCATCTGCCCCACCCTCGGGAAATCCCCTTGTGCTGAGCACCTGAGGGAGTTTTACAATCAACTGACAACCCAAAACTCATCAAGTAACCTAGACTGCTAGCCTCCAGGCAAAAAGCTAGAATATAACTGTACCTTTCCTGGGCTAGCAACCAGGAAAGTAAGACTTGACAATGGTGTTTAATGTGGGTCCTCCCTCGCTCATCTAAACCCAGGAGAGGGAGCCACAAACAGCAGAACACCAACACCCACAGGGAAAACTTGACAGGCTCCAAAGCCCACTGTGAGAGCCAAAATGGTGAAACACAGAAACAGAAGCCAAATGAAACAGCAAAAGACCTCCACCAAAGATGAGATCAATGTGGAGCAGCTAGGCATGTTAACAGAGCTAGAATTCAGAGCCATGATCTTGAGGAAGATCAACAGCATGAGTAAGGACATAGAGACGCTGAAAATAAGCCAATTGGAAATGAAAAACCATCAAGAAGAGATAAAAAATGACATATCAGAAGTGTAAAACACATTGGAAGGTTTAAAAAGCAGAGTAGAGAAAGCTGAGGACCGGATCAGTGAATTAGAAGACAGGATAGAAAAAAATCAACCAATCAGAAAAACAAAAGGAAAAAACAATTAAAAAACAGGAAGACAGCTTAAGAGAATTGTAGGACAACTTGAAACGTAATAATATTCGCATCATAGGAGTAACGGGAAAAAGAAAATGAGCAAGGGATAGAGAATATATTAAAAATAATAGTCACAGAAAAATTCCCTAATTTGGTGAAGGAAGAAGGCATTCAAGTTCAAGAAGCACAGAGAGTCCCAAGTAAGAAGAACCCAAACAGGCCCACACCAAACATAGTAATTAAAATGCCAAAAATTAAAGACAAAGAGAGAATCCTAAAAGCAGCAAGAGATAAGCAACAGGTTACCTACAAAGGGAACCCCATAAGGCTCTCAGATGACTTCTTACAAGAAACACTACATGCCAGAAGGGAATGGCATGAAGTAATCAAGGTCATGAAAAACAAGGATCTGAATCCAAGACTACTCTACCCAGTAAGGCTATCATTCAAAGTAGAAAGTCAAATAAAGAGCTTCCCAGACAAAAAAAGGCTAAGGGAATACATTAGCACCAAACCAGCACTGCAAGAAATGTTAAAGGACTGCTGTAATTAGCAGGAGAAATGGGAAGAAAAATAGAATCACACTAAACAAAAATGGCAATAAATAAGTACATATCAATAATCACCTTAAATGTAAATGGATTGAATGCTCCCATAAAAACACACAAAGTAGCTGATTGGATAAGAAAGCATGACTCATCTATATGTTGGTTACAAAGACCCATCTCAAAACAAAAGACTCACATAGGTTGAAAGTGAAGGGATGAAAAAAAATCTTCCGAGCAAATGGAAAGCAAAAAAAAGCTGGGATAGCAATACTCAAAACTGATAAAATAGATTTCAAAACGAAGGCCATAACTAGAGACAAAGAAGGCCACTACATAATATTGAAAGGATCTATCCAACAGGAAGATATAACCTTGATAAACATATATGCACCCAATATAGGAGCACCAAAATATATTAAAAATCTTCTGGAGGACTTCCAAGGAGAAATCGACAGCAATACAATCATAGCAGGGGACTTCAACACCCCGTTGACAGCACTGGATAGATCCTCTAGACAAAAAATTAGCAAGGAAACAGAGACTCTAAACGAAGCACTAGACCAAATGGATTTAATAGATATCTACAGAGAATTACACCCCAAAACTACAGAATACACATTCTTCTCAAGTGCACATGGGACATTCCCAAAGATAGACCACATGATAGGACACAAACTAAATCTCTACAAGTTCAAGAAGATTGAAATCATATCTAGCATCTTCTCAGATCACAATGGCATGAAACTAGAAATCAATTGCAACAAGAACATGCAAAGAAATTTCAACACGTGGAGGCTAAATAGCATGTTATTAAACAATGAATGGGTCACTGAGGAGATCAAGGAAATTAAAAACTTCCTAGAAACCAATGAAGATGAACACACAACACAAAATCTATGGGATGCAGCGAAAGCAGTCCTGAGAGGGAAGTTCATAGCACTACAGGCCTACCTCAAAAAACAAGAAAAATTTCTAATTGACTGTCTAACCTCACAAGTTAAAGAATTAGAAAGCAAACAAAAAGAAAGCCCCAGCGCAAGTACAAGGAAGGAAATAGTAAAGATCAGAGCAGAAATAAATGACATAGAGACCAAAAAAACAATTCAAAGGATCAATGAAACAAAGGGCTGGTTTTTCGAAAAGATAAACAAGATCGATGGACCCTTAGCTAGACTCACCAAGAAACAAAGAGAGAGAACCCAAATACACAAAATCAGAAATGAAAGAGGAGAAGTAGCAACCAACACCACAGAAATACAAAGGATCAATGAAACAAAGGGCTGGTTTTTCGAAAAGATAAACAAGATCGATGGACCCTTAGCTAGACTCACCAAGAAACAAAGAGAGAGAACCCAAATACACAAAATCAGAAATGAAAGAGGAGAAGTAGGAACCAACACCACAGAAATACAAAAGATCGTTAACAGCTACTATGAACAACTATATGGCAACAAATTCGACAATCTAAGTGAAATGGACAAATTTCTAGAAACACACAGTCTCCCAAAACTGGACCGGGAATAGATAGAAAACTTGAACAGACCAGTAACAACTAAGGAAATTGAAGAGGTTAATCAAGACTCTCCCAGCAAACAAAAGCCCAGGCCCAGATGGCTTCACGGGGTAGTTTTACCAAACATTCAAAAAAGAACTAACACCCATCCTCCTCAAACTATTTCAAAAAATTCAAGAAGAAGGAAGACTTCCAAACACGTTCTATGAAGCCAGCATAATTCTAATTCCAAAACCAGAAAAAAACACTATGAAGAAAGAAAACTACAGGCCAATATCCCTGATGAACATAGATGCCAAAATCCTGAACAAAATATTAGCAAATCGGATCCAGCAATACATCAAAAAAATTATTCACCATGACCAAGTGGGATTCATTTCAGGGATGCAAGGCTGGTACAATATTCGCACATCAATAAATGTGATACACCACATAAACAAAATGAAGAATAAAAACCACATGATCATATCAATAGATGCTGAAAAAGCATTCGACAAAATCCAGCATCCATTTCTGATAAAAACGCTCAGCAATGTGGGAATAGAGGGATCATATCTCGACATAATAAAGGCCATATATGAAAGACCTACAGCCAACATCATACTCAATGGGCAGAAACTAAAAACATTTCCATTAAGAACAGGAACAACAAAGGGATGTCCACTTTCGCCACTCTTATTTAACATAGTACTGGAAGTCTTAGCTACAGCAATCAGACAGGAGGAAAAACTAAAAGGGATCCAAATTGGAAAGGAGGAAGTGAAACTGTCATTATTTGCAGATGACATGATATTATACATAGAAAACCCTAAAGAATTCATCAAAAATCTACTAGACTTAATAAATGAATTTGGAAAAGTAGCATGATACAAAATTAACGTCAAGAAATTGACGGCATTCTTATACACCAATGATGAACTCACAGAAAGAGAAACTGAAAAAACAATCCCATTTACCATTGCGGCAAAAAAATTAAGATACCTAGGAATAAACTTAACCAAAGAAGTAAAGGACCTATTTGCAGAAAACTACAGGATATTGAAAAAAGAAATAGAGGAAGATATAAAAAAGTGGAAGCACATACCTTGTTCATGGATTGGAAGAATTAACATCATTAAAATGTCCATACTACCCAAAGCAATCTATAGATTCAATGCAATCCCCATCAAAATACCAACGACATATTTCACAGAACTAGAACAAATACTGCAAAAGTTCATATGGAACCAAAAAAGTCCCCGAATAGCCACAGCAATTTTGAAAAAGAAGGACAAAGTAGGTGGGATCACAATATCAGATATCAGGTTATACTACAAAGCGACTGTAATCAAAACAGCCTGGTACTGGCACAAGAACAGGCATATAGACCAGTGGAACAGAACTGAAAACCCAGAAATGGACCCAAGGCAATATGCTCAACTAATATTTGACACAGGTGGCAAGAGCACACAGTGGAGTAAAGACAGCCTCTTTAATAAATGGTGTTGGGAAAATTGGACAGCTACATGCAAAAAAATGAAACTAGATCATCAACTTACACCATACACAAAAATGAACTCAAAATGGATAAAAGACTTAAATGTGTCCCGTGAATCCATAAAAATTCTAGAAGAAAATGTAGGCAACAAAATTTCGGACATCATACGGAACAAAATTTTCACTGATACATCACCTAAGGCAACAGAAACAAAGGAAAAAATGAACACATGGGACTACATCAAACTAAAAAGCTTCTGCACAGCAAAAGAAACAATCATCAAAATGGAAAGGCAAACCCCTGTATGGGAGAACATTATTGCCAATGATATATCAGATAAGGGGTTAATTTCCAATATATAGAGAGTGCTCATACAACTCAACAAAAGGAAGACAAAGAACCCAATTAAAAAATGGGCAGAGGAGCTGAATAGACACCTCTCCAAACAGGACATACAAATGGCCAAGAGACATATGAAGAAATGCTCAACATCACTAATCATCAGAGAGATGCAAATTAAAACAATGAGGTATCATCTCACACCTGTCAGAATGGCCGGCATCAACAAATCATCAAACAAGTGTTGGCGAGGATGTGGAGAAAAGGGAACTCTAATACACTACTGGTGGGAATGCAGACTGGTGCAGCCACTATGGAAAACAATATGGTGTTACCTCAAACAATTAAAAATTAAACTTCCATTTGACCCAGTGATCCCGCTTCTAGGAATATACCCTAAGAAGCCTGAAACACCAATCAGGAAGAATATATGTACCCCCATGTTCAAAACAGCACTATTTACACTAGCTAAGATCTGGAAATAGCCCAAGTGTCCATCAGTAGACGAATGGATAAAAAAGCAGTGGTACATATATACAATGGAGTACTATGCAGCTGTAAGAAAGAAAGATCTCTTATCCTTTGAGACCACATGGAGGGACCTGGAAAGTGTTATCCTGAGTGAAATAAGCCAAGCAGAGAAGGACAAATACCACATGATCTCACTTATATACGGAATATAATGAACATAACAGTCTGAGGAATACGGTAGACCCAGAGACATGGTAGTGGAGCACAGACTGACATCCCTAAGAAGAGGGGGTGCGGGGGGTGGGAAGAGATGGACCACAGAACTTATATGCATGTATACATGACCAATGGACACGGACAACAAAGCCGGGGACGGGGCGGGGTTGGGGTGGGGAGGGGGGTGCCAATGTGGTAAAAAAGGAGAAACATCTGTAACAAAAAAATAAATCAAAAAATTGGAGAAAAAAAACAGGAAAGAAAGCTACACACCTTAGAACAGTGGTATCATGTGAACTCTCTGCATCAGCCCAGTGACTGCAATACACTAATCTTACCTGGAGTAGACGGCCTTTCAAGCATGTTCAAATGATGAGAAATGAATGCCTGGCTGTCATGAACAGTATCCATATCTATCTCCTCCTCATCTTGAGAACTTGAAAACTAAAACACACACATAGAACAAAAGAGAAAAAGAGCCATTATATCACTTCATGTCTGGATCTTAGCTCTTAGGAAAAGGAGCAGAGACCACAGGATATACCCCCAAATAATCTTAAAAGGAAGTCTCTTTATCTCAAAAAGTATTGAGAGAGAGCGAAAAGATTATGTGGTCCATCCTCCAAAAGAAGCTGCTTAGAAATGAATGGAAATGTAATGGCAACTAAAATCTATTCCTTTGTTATGGGAGAGGTGTGAGCTGTGTAGATCGTGCACACGCAGTTCCTCCCCAAACAGGGAAGAAGTATGTGACAATATAAGTTAAACAATCAGTTGGAATGTTTTAGAGATGGACATTTGGGTTTTTTAATGATTCAGTGAGTCCCATCTGTTCCTAAGGAAAAACCAAGTATTCACGAAGATTTACAAGAAGGTGAATATCCTACACTGTTAATACAGGTTTAACCTGTATTTCTTACTCTGATTTTGAGTTTGACTTTACTGCTATCCTCATTCTTCTCCAGTATTTGACCAGGTTCTAGTGGGGACCCCAGTGGTGTATCAGACTTCCTCTTCACTCCCTGCTGATGAGCTGATATATTACATGATGCTTCTTTGGCAAGGTGATCATCTTCCTGCGGCAATATTTGAGATCAAAATTAGATTTCTGAGGAAATTAGCTCGTATTATAGCTGAAAACTAATAGCTACAGCAATCATGCAGATTAGAGCATGCCCAGTGCCTGAAAGTTATCAGCAATGGGCTCAAAATAAATTTCACCTTTTCCTGTCTGCTGGTTTTTTGGGGGAGATGGGAGTTATTTTGGTGAGTTTTTAGAGCTTTCCCAAAAGAAGTATCTTTTGGCGTCATTTTCTGCTCTTATCCTAGACTCCAAGTATGAATGTGGATAAATTAACATATATGGGCAAGAATTATAAACATATTCATCTCCAGAGATGTATAGAGCTATTCAGATCTGAAAGAGCTCTTTAATGAGTCTTTTTTTTCCTATGGAAGTTATCTTGTTCTTCATAACCCAAACTCTAGGATACATTTTAAATTTACAACAAGTACAATTATATTTCAGAAAATCTAGGTAAGTAGGTAATTTAAAATGACTATTTCTAACTATCATAGGGAGAATCTAAATTTTAAAGTGCCAAAACACCAGTAGGGAATTGCCAGGCAAGTAATCTGGTCTAAATATTGGTGAAAAATGAAGCTTGAAGTATTAGGGACATTTTGTCATCAATAAGAAAATCATTTCTGAAAAACATTAAGTTACAATAAAATAACTGATATGTATCCTAGTCTTTCTACAAAAAAGTCTGGTAATTTTACAGTGTATAGGTAGAAATAAAACTTTTCTAAAGGCAAACACATACATACGTGTATGTGTATATATATATTATGTAATGCATATTCTCCTCCTAAATCAGAGTACTCGTTTATCTGATCCTCAGATGTTATCTATCTATCTATCTATCTATCTATCTATCTATCATCTATCTATCTATCTATCTATTTAATTCAAGAAGCATTTGCCAGGCACTTATCATGTTTGGAACTGTACTAGGAATTACAGAGTAGGAAAGAAGAGTCGAGGCCCTTGTGTTTAGTTTGCCATTACCATACATGGACGAGAAGATTAATACGTGACAGGTTCAACATTCATTTCTATTTTCTACTAATCAAAGAGAAAATTCTGTGCTCAGTACAAACAATCATTATGTCATCATAAAAGGAGTAAAGAACTGACAGTACCATATAGTTTACAAAGTGCTAAATGAATGTCAGCCAGCAGTTTTTAAAAAGGTACAAAAAAACTGTTAGTAGCTTTAAGATTGGCCAGTTTAGAAGAAGCAATTCTCTTCTGTAGAGAACTCGATACAATAAAACTACATCTTCCGTAATACGTGGTTCTTACAGGGTTCTGAAATCCAACTAGCTGTGCGTGGCTACTTGGATTAAGTGCAGTTTCTTGGTTGCCTGTGATGGCCTCTGGAATTATGGTCGGATTCAAGACAGCTTTTTTCTCTTTTAGATTAAGAACCAACCCAAGCTCTGGCAAGGGTAAGCAGGAAGGTCTGCTGAGGCCAAAAAGTGTGAAGTACAAGTCCACAGCACCACACCGTAGCCTCCAGTCATGTGAAGTGCCTAAGAAGGAAATAATAAAGAGATGACGCTCAATATGCACATTTAACTGCACATTTTTAACTGTTTCTGAATTGTACAGAGGGAAGAAATGAAAGGATTATGATGCTTAAAAGGAGCCATCTCTTGACCTAAGCCCTACTGGCAAACCCTCTACCCTAAAGGTGTATCTGATCTTAACACAGACATTTATGAATTATTACAGGAAGAATGTTAGTGAATGAACTAGTAAATTTTTTAACTGGAAAAGTGTTTTATTATCATACCATTTTTCCTTACAAAATGAATACTAAAAAATAGTATTTTTTCTGCTTTTAAATTTTTCTTTTAATTCCCCCTCCTTGGTAACTATTCCACATTTGTTCATCCTCTGTTCTTCGTGTCTGATTTTCTTTTTTAAAAATATTTTTTCTGCCCTGGCCAGTTTGGCTCAGCGGTTAGAGCGTTGGCCTGCGGTCCGGAGAGACCCGGGTTCGGTTCCCACTAAGGGCATGTACCTCGGTTGCAGTTTGTCCCCGGCCCTGGTTGGTCGTGCGGGTGGCAGCCACTCGATGTGTCCCTTCACGTTGATGTTTCTCTCTCTCTCTCTCTCTCCCTTCCTCTCTCTCCCTTCCACTCTATCTGTACAAAAAATGGAAAAATGTCCTCGGGTGAGGATAAAAAAAAAGTAAAATATTTTTTCTTTATTGATTCTAGAGCAAGAGGAAGGAAGAGGGAGAGATAGAAACATCGCTGAGAGAGAACATGACTGGCCGCCTCCTGCATGTCCCCCACTGGGGACTGGGCCCACAACCTGGGCACATGCCCTGACCAGGAATAGAACCATATATCTTGGTGCATGGTCCACACTGGCCGGGATGACTTTCTTCTGAAACAGCCTGTTAGGAAGGCAGTGCTCTATGGGCCTTCATGAACCCTAGCACTAGAAACAAATTCCCCTAACTCTCAAATTCATTATGTTCAGGTTTGAAATATAAGAAACCCTATAACTACTTGAAATAACACAGTTCTACACTTAAATTTATTGTAGAGGAGGAAAATATTTTGATAAACACCTTTATATTTGTGTTGTTATACTAGGTTTTTGTTTTAAAAAAATAATAATAAGCAAATCTCAGAGATGGCAACAGGCCGTAAAACACATGTTGACCAGAAGACTGCCTGTATAGAAATTCAGCTTCCAGTAGTTGAGAGAACAGAGGCAAGTTCTTTCAATTCCTTTGATGAGTCTCAGTTTCTTCATCTCCAAAATAAAGGTTCTGGTCTCCGACTTGCCATAAGCATAATGGCAGACCAGAGCGCACCAATATCAGAGTTCTTCTCACTTCCCTTTCCTTACCCAGTAGAGTGCTTCAGGAAGGTACTGCCATCAAGTAAAACTGACTGATCAGATAAAATTAGTTACCGAGGGTTAGGTAATTTCTATGGTTTCCAGGCTGAATTTGAAATAATCTAAAGAATTTAAAACACATGAGAAGAAGCAATATGTAAATTCTTCTGGATAAGAGAATAAACCCTATAAATATTTATCTTTGACCGTGGATTCAATAGAGCACCATAGCCCTGGCCAGTTTGGCTCAGCAGTTAGAGCGTTGGCCTGAGGTCCAGAGAGACCTGGGTTCGGTTCCCACTAAGGGCACGTACCTCGGTTGCAGTTTGTCCTTGGCCCTGGTTGGGTTGTGCAGGTGGCAGCCACTCGATGTGTCCCTTTCACGTCGATGTTTTTCTCTCTCTCTCTCTCCCTCCCACTCTATCTGAACAAAAAATGGAAAAATGTCCTTGGGTGAGGATTAAAAAAAAAAAAGCACCATGTTTTAAAAGCAAAAAAAAAAAAAAATTTCGACAGCAAAAATATTAAGCTTTGTGATTTTCAACAACAAATATTAAAATAAGTAAATTATAATCAGCTAGTGATTCTGATGAGATTTGCTCTGGTAAGTGAATATTATGTTAATTATATGCAAAGGTAATCTACATGAAGGAAATGATAATTTCATGAAGTTCATACTATAAGCTGCACTGTGGTAAGCACTCTGCTTGCTCCATTGCTGGCAGAGAGGCACCATCAGTCCTGACATCTTCAGCTCTGCTACTGTGTATAACCGAAACAGCACTGCTAGAAGCAAGAGAAAGAGGCAGGAGCCCCTGAGGAGGATAAGGTTTTATGTGCTAAAAACTATGAAGAAACCAGAAATGGGAAGAACAGTACAGAACGAAAGTAAGAATTTCTCACTGGAAATCCATTCCCTTCTCTGGAATATGTATATCTGGACACTTCACTGGCCTGACATCGCTTCATGTTTTGTAAACCTTCATTGTTCTCTTCTTCAAAGCATAAGAATCCTGGGCCTTTTCCACAGAGGCTGGATGGCTCAAGCCTCTAAAAGAACGAAAGGCATCCTGCCAGAGCAGCTGGATACCCAAGGGTGCAGCAAGAAAAGGAGATCTTAGGCATTTTACCAGGAAAACAAGAATGGTTTAAGATACATTTATACTAGAAGAAAACTAAACCTTGAAGATCAATATCACCTAATTATGCCTGCTGCCATCCTGAACATTCTGTTGTAGATGACATCAACATCAGTAAATAAGCAACTGAATGTGCATTCTTTGAAGTTTCTAAAAAATTATTTTAATTTAGAAAAGCAAATGAAAACATATATTGATAAGCTAGGATATACTGTTTGGTATTTTGTTTTGTTTTTTTTTAATCCTCACCCGAGGATATTTTTGCATTTATCTTCAGATAGAGCTGGAGGGAGAGAGGAAGGAAGAAAGAGAGGGATGAGAAAGAGACACATCGAGTGGCTGCCACCTACACGACCCCAACCCCCCCAATCGGGGCCAGAGACAAACTGCAGTCGAGGTACGTGCCCTTAGTGGGAACCAAACTTGGGACTCTCTTGTCCACGGGCTAATGCTCTAACTGCTGAGCCAAACCGGCCAGGGCTTGTTTGGTGTTTTGAAAGACAGATTAAGAATAATTAGGCAGCACACTGAAGGCTGTTAAACTGCACTGAGCTCTTGACTATGGTTTTCACTTTTTATTTATTTCTGTGTGGCTTTTTCACTTTGGCTTGCCTTCAGTTTGCATGGAGGGATGAACACTACTATTTTGTTCCTGAGTGAGTTCCTGATAAGAGTTTTTTTTTTTCTCCTTCAAATAATTGACTTACAAATACTAAAATTTAAGGCTGATAAGAGGGAGCTAAAAAATGAATAGCAGTGCTTCTGTTAAAATTACAGAAAAGATAGCCTGGCTAGTGTGGGTCAGTGGTTGAGCGTTGACCCATGCACCAGGACGTTGCTGGTTCAATTGCCAGTCAGGGCACATGCCCAGGTTGTAAACCAACCCCCATGGGGGGGTGTGCAGGAGGCGGCCAATTTATGTTCTCCCTCATCGATATTTCTCTCTCTCTCTCTCCCCCCCCCCGCCCATTCCCTTCCTCTCTAAAAACAAATTTTAAAAAACCATTTTTAATTACAGAAAAGATAAAAAATCAGAACTCCTCTGTAATTCAAAACCATGGAATAAAATCTTAAAATGGTTGTCATTATAGCGAAATTCAGTTGAGCAGTATAGTGGAGAAAATCACTTCTGCTTAATTCCAGCTAGCTCTGTGATCATAGGCAAGCCAGCTGCCTAGGCCCTAAAATGAGAGCAATTAACTTGGCAGGTCTTTAAGTTCCCATCAGATCTGAAATGCCAGGATTCCAAATCAATCAACTCCATTAGATATCCTGGAGCTGCTGCCAGTTTCTGTGACAGCATTTTGAAAACCCTTCTTTAATCTTCTAGATGTCCCTCCCACCCCAATCACTTACAGGCAAGGAATGTTCATATATTGATAAAACAGTCATTATTGTCTTCTCTCAGGCAGAAATGCTGTCCATTCTGTCTTCACTGGCAGTGAAACTTTGGGACCAACCCTGCTTATCTGAATCAGAACAGCATTCAAGAAGAAAGCAGAAAACCCAGTATTGATGTTCTCTATTCAAATCAGAAAGTATCTGAAGAAAAAAACCCCAAATAGTGAATCTGATCCTAAAAAAGGATCATCTCTTCATTTTCTGAAGTAATTGCTATTAAAGCTGATGAAGCCAAAAAACTGCTAAGAAAGATTACTTAGAAAGTCACTTTTTCAGGACATTTTTCAATAAACCCAGCAGTCCTTACTGATGACAGAAGCTTAGAAATGTGTGCAGAGTGGGGCCAAAGGGTAGTTCTGTCCTGATCTTTTTGTCCATCTTACACGAAGTAAAAACGGCAAATTTAATTTATATTCATATGTATAATTTCCTAAGAATAAAGTGAAAATACTTATTTCCAACCCTTTGTACCTTCTGAAATAAAAATAATAATAATAATACTTTGCAGGTTTATGTTTAAAGCTCCTTAACCATTTGAGACACTTTCACATAAATTAATACTTTTGTTTCTTCAATCACCCTGTGGGACAAAGTAAGTGAATATATCATTAGCAAATGTTATCACATCCACCACTGTGAAGGTAGATGTAGTAAGTATCCTACTTAAAAAAAAAACAAAACAAGAAGTAAACCATAGTTCTTTAAGTACTGAAAACCTGTTGAAATGTAAATAATTCAGTCATAATTTTTTTTTTTTTTTGGAAAGCCACTCACCAGAATTCATAAGTTTCCAAAGTTGATCTACCAGGGCTTCATTGCATAAGGGAGACTCCATGTTCTTAGTAAATGGTGGGTTCTTGGTCAACATGTTTAAAATCTTATGTCTGGAAAAGAAAAAGTAATTTTTGCAGTCTATTAAGAACATTTGAAAATGACCTGTAATTCCTTTTTCCTATTTTATCATCCCCCTTCTTAGATATAGCTTTGTGTTTAAGTTTAGTTTCATTCCAAAAGGCTTATTACACCCTCAATATTTACTACTGTTTTTTTAACTAAAAAATTCTGGTAGGTTTTTTTTCCTAAAATTGCCTTAGTGTACAATTAGGTCTTCTAAAACCCGACTGTGTATTCTTATTAACCTTTCCCATCCTGCTTCTAAAATAAATGTTTTACTCTCCTTAGAAAAGTTTACAAAAAAGACTGATCAGTAAATATAAAAATCTTAAAATGGGGGGAAAAAATCACATATAGGCCAAGAAGAACCCTACATTTGAGATAATAAAATGAATATAAGCATTATTATTGTATCTTTGTAAAGCATGGAAATGTGCAGAAGTATTTTAAATATGGAGATTGCAAAAAGATTTCCTCTAATAAGCTGAGGTTTAGAAAGTCAATTCATAACAAAGTATCCTTATAGATGGCAACAGTTATACTCCCCTATAGGGAGTTTTTAACCTTAATTAAGAGGCTATCTGAACACATTATGGGATCTTCTGAAAAACAGGGCAATGCGACCAAATAAAATTTGAAAAAGATAATGTCCAATACTATGAGAAGAAGACACCATAGAAAGAGAGAGAAAGAAAAGAGGCAAGGAGGTTCTGACAGTAATTTAACACTTGGTGAAGGGATAAAGGCCAGGCCTAAGACAAAGTCTGAGAAATTCAAACTTCAGAGTCATGGAATACTTGGATATAATGGAGGAAGAAAGACTCTGAGGTTATAATTTTTCCTGATGCTAGTAAAATTTTAAAGAAGGTGAACCTGGGAAATTTTTATATTTAATTGTTGGTAGAAAGATATCAAACAAGATTAGTACTTGAGAAAGAGATGGGAGAAAAGTGAACTGCTAGCTTGTAGTTAAATCACTTAATCCCTTTGGCTTCAATTTTATGTCTGTAAAAGTGAAAGGATATGGGCTCACTTTTTTTTTTTTTTTAATCCTCACTCGAGGACATTTTTGCATTTATCTTCAGATAGAGCAGGAAGGAGAGAGGGAGAAAGAGAGAAAGAAACATCGATGTGAGAGAGACACATCGACCAGCTGCCACCCACATAACACCATGGGGCTGGGACAAACTACAATACACCCCATGGAGTTGGAGACAAACTGCAACCGAGGTACGTGCCCTTAGTGGGAACCAAACCCGGGGGGGGTCTCTCTGGTCTGTGGGCCGACGCTCTAACCGCTGAGCCAAACGAGCCAGGGCTGGGCTCACTGTTAACATCCTTTTGTGCTTTGGAATTTTAAGACCATATGAAAGACTACTGAAAGGCTATAAGAACAAATAAAACTTTATGGTATTTACTCAGATCACTGCAAACTCTTTACAGCTACGCCAAAAAACTGTAAAGAGTACTCTGGGGAGATCTTTGAAATTATCACTGAAAGAGCAATAATGATTAGTACATGTATTACTTTAGGCAATTAAACATTTCTTTAAAAGGTCTGTTTTTCTTTAAATGTTAGATTTTTATAAATGACTAAACACTCAAAGCAATACTCAAAGGAGATCAAGTTTAAGGGAAGACAATGAGAATCTTATGCTTAATTTTTCAGAGATTAAACATCAAAACGCACAATAAGCATATGTTTCAGACATCTGGAACAAACCTGAAGCAAATCCTAAGAAAGTCATGGGCTTATGTCATATTGACAGCTGCAAAAACATCGTAGTATTTCCCTAGATAATTGAGAAATTTCTTTGTAGGCTAGTCCAATACAATTATCAATCACTACCTATAGAAATGGGAGTCACAAATCAAAATGAAAAATGTTCAAAAACTTCCAGGAGAAAAGGCATTAGATACATGTCCCTTGAACTGCTACACTGTTATATGCACACTTGACTCCAAAACTAGAATATAATTCCATGTCATCTTTAAAATAGTCTGCCCAATCTCAGGCAATATAACTAATACATACAATGTTAATAAATGGGATATACCATAACACTACTCTTTATTTTTAAAGTGAAATCAATCAGCCCTGGCAGGTTTGGCTCAGCGGTTAGAGCATCAGCCTGCAGTCTGGAGAGACCCGGGTTCAGTTCCCGCTAAGGGCACGTACCTCGGTTGCAGTTTGTCCCTGGCCCTGGTTGGTTGTGCGGGTGGCAGCCACTCGATGTGTCCCTTTCACGTCGACGTTTCTCTCTCTCTCTCTGTTCCTCTCTCTCAATCCCACTCTACCTGAACAAAAAGTGGAAAAATGTCCTCGGGTGAGGATGATAAAAAATAAAATAAAATAAAATAAAGTGAATTCAATCAATCAGTAGAGGTTTCACAATTTTGGATATATATGCAAACTATTACATAAGCTTTCCTTTAAGTTACAGTAGAAATCATGTATAAAATTACAGAGAATTTTATTAATATATATTTTTAAATGTCTTTTCAAAGGTAAATCAAATTAAAAAATTTAAAAAGGGCATTACAAAAGCATAACATATTTCTATGTTTATAAAAATAACAAAGCCCTGGCCGATTTGGCTCAGCGGTTAGAGCGTCGGCCTGCGGTCCGGAGAGACCCGGGTTCGGTTCCCGCTAAGGGCATGTACTTCGGTTGCAGTTTGTCCCCGGCCCTGGTTGGTTGTGCGGGTGGCAGCCACTCGATGTGTCCCTTTCATGTCGATGTTTCTCTCTCTCTCTCTCTTCCTCTCTCTCCCTCCCACTCTATCTGTGCAAAAAATGGAAAAATGTCCTCGGGTGAGGATAAAAAAAAAATAAAAAAAAGAATAAAAATAACAAAGACTTGTTCCCTGTATAATTTTCTGAAATTATTCAATTTACTTTAGCACTTAAAAAAAGAAAAAAGTATAGCACAAAAACTAACCTTACATAGGGTACAGGGTCATTCTGAATCATATTAAGTAGCCACTGCAGTTCTTCATAACTCCTATCCACTGAAAATAAAAATAAAGAAATAAAATATGTTTGTTGCAATTATATCAAATGAAACAAGTGACGGACAAGGAGTTTACACTTACTATTTACGACTCTGCCTTAGTTGGATTTCCAATCAGAGTTGAAGGCTGTAGACAACTTCTTTACATTTTTAAAAAATGTAATAGGCCACTTTGTAAATGTTATAAGTATTGTGCTATATGTAGCCAAAACATAAAACAGAACCAAGTGTATATTTTTCACTATAGCTCAAATCAAAGGCAAATATAGCATTAAGGAAATTATAATCTATTGAGCCCTAAATTAGAGATGATTAACTCTAAATAGAATGTGTTTAAATAAAATTATTTCTAGATTCTTAAATCAAATTATAGACTGGTCTGATACTCAATGGTATCTCAACTATATTATAAAGTGAACTGTTTTTGCCCAAGTGGTTTCTTTCATTTAAAACCAATGAGCACGGGGTTTCGGACTAGCAGAGCAGCTCCCTCGCTGCGATCTATTGAAAAGTAGCCCTCGACACAAGGGTTTGTCTTGTCCTTCCCATGCTGCCTGCACAGGCGGTGTTGGGAGGGGAAGGAGGGCCCCGTGGGCCACGGTGGCCCTTGCGCAGTGGCCTCCTCTCTGATCCCGCAGGGGCACGGCCTGGGATGGGCGGTGGGTATGGGCGGTGGCGGATCCACGCGTACTCTTTCCCCAGGGGGAACGCAGGCTGCCTCCTCTCCTCCCCTCTCAAAAAAAGCAAAATAACCCCAAGTAATCAGCCTTAACTTTCAACATAACATAAAAAGCAATTACAAAAATAGTGCTATAACTATAACTGACAAGTAAAATGCTTCATTAGCTATTTCTATTCACTTTTTCAACAAATTTTGCTGTTATGACTTGAAAAGCTTTATTTTCAGAATTTTATTTCTAATATTTTCTATTTTCAAATGACCTTAAATTCATGGATCACATTTAAACACCTTTTTGATTTTTGTTTTCTTTATTGATTTGAGAGAGAGAAGGGAGAGGGAGAGATGGAAACATCGATGAGAGAGAACATAGATTGGTAGCCTCCTGCATGCCCCCCACTGGGAATCGGGCCACAACCTGGGCATTTGTCCTGACCGGCAATCGAACTGGCGACCTCTTGGTGCATGGGTTGACGCTCAACCACTGAGTCACGCCAGCCTGGCTTAAACACCTTTCAATAAAATTACACTTAACTTAGTGTTCATCATAATACTAGCATTCTACTTCTTTCAGGTACACTAATTCATGAAATTTTCATATTTATGTCACAGTGAACACCATAAACCTTGGGAAAGAAGGTTAGGAATAATGGCATGTTTAGTGTACCTCAAAACTTCTAAATTTCATGAACTGGTAAAATCTCAAAACAAAACTGGATACTGATAGAGGATTACACATTCTTTTCCCAAAAAATTCATTTAAAAAAATCACTATTTTCACCATCATTTCTTAAAAGAATATATATTGTAACCCTCCATTAAAAGAACAAATGAAGTCCGATCTGAACTTATATCAACATATATATTATACATATTATACTGATCTTACCCTTTTATAATTTCTAATATGTAAAAATTAACTAGTATCTACTAAAGAACTTCCCTCACCCCATCCTTTCTACTATCAGATGAGAAGTTCAGGCCACTTTAACTTCTTTCCTCTTCTCATATTTTAGTGCTATAAATATAGATTCATTTATGTATTTCATAATTTGCATATTAACTTGTAAAGAATTAAGTAGAGAATCTCTGATCATAATTTCCCCTAAACATTCTGCTAGCTGTTTGTTCACTGTTTTTTGAACTCTTCATATTCTGAAGAAGTCACTGGCCACGTTATTCTCTTACCTTGTATCATAACTGGGTTCTGATATTCCTAGGAATTTACACATTTTTTTCTTAACCTTAAAATTTTGTTTTATCAGACTCTACCTTAGTTCAGTTTTGTTTACATCCTATGAAAAGATTATTCCTTTTCTTCCACCTGCTCCATTCTTCATAACTTTTTTTTTAAACAAGGCATACTGGCAGGAAGTCTTTTCTTTTTTTCCCCCCTTTTTTGATTTGAGAGCGAGAGGAAGTGAGGGGGAAAGAGACATAAAAACATCCGATGAGAGAGAACATCAAACTGGCGACCTCTTGGTTGATGCTTAAGCACTGAGCCATATCAGCCAGACCATGACTTATTTTATTTTCCTTTTCATCTCTTTATATTTCTGAAAATGTTTTAACTATGTAGTAGTTTTCTTTTATTTATTTTTGGCCTTGTATTTATTCCAACTCTATAAAGCCTTGCATTAACCCTGTGCTGAGGCTCCTAATCATTTCTCTTGCTCTACCTTCACAGATACAAATCTGTGACAAGAGCAAGATATTTTCTTGAATCCTTATATAATTATAAATTTACGAATATCATTTCTATTTCTTAAAATAACATGTAATTAAAACTATAATAATGATATGCTGACTTCTTGGAAAGACCAAAGATATCTATTTATAATTGTATTCTTTTCCCCCACTGATTAATTCTACTAAGAATTCTACATTGACCAAAAATCAGTGAATCAAGAATTTAAAATGAAAATATCTGTACTGTACATAATAAGAAAACCCCAGTACCTATGACTGGCTTTAAATAGTAAACATTTCTTTCTAAAATGACATGAACATATACTTCTAAAGCATTACCTTTAGTATAATCAACAACTGCTTCCAAAGCTGCTATCCTAATGTCCACAAAGTGGCCATATTCTGCATACGATTTAAAAAGAGCTGGGTCGCTCGGCACGTGTCCATTCTTCTGAAGCACTCGTATGGCTCTCAGACAACTAGGGAAACAGTATTCAGTTCAATACTTCCGTTAAAGTATTCTGAATCAAACCTGTTTGCTAGGCACTAGAAATTTATCTGTAACAGTGAACTGAAAAAATCTGATTGGAATCTACCTTTTAATTCTGTAACATTAAATTTTTGCAATGATCATAAAAATTAAAAATATCTAAATCCTATTAAAGAAAAACAAATTTTAAAATTTGTTTGAAAATCCAATTTCAAGCTTCATCATACTTAGTATTTTCTCCAAAAGTTTGTTATATAGTTTAGTAAATAATAAATATGGAAGGTTAAACTGTTCATAATGTTGGAAACAGTGAACTGACTTTTTTTTTTGGAAACTCCTAAAGAAATAGAACTTTTTGATAATTTAGGCAAAAAAGCAAAAGTCACTTAAAAAGTCTAATAAAAGAATGCTTATACTATATCTGATGAGATAAAATATTATGTAGATATAAAAATAATGCTTTTCAAGAATTTCTGATGACATGAGAAAGTGTTTATGATATAAGCAGAATACAAAAACTATCTATATATAGCCCTGGCTGGTTTGGCTCAGCAGTTAGACCATTGGCCCATGGACCAGAGAGTCCCGGGTTTGATTCCGGCCAGGGGCACATAACTCAGTTGCGGTTCGTTCCCGGCCCCGTTGGGGTTGTGCAGGTGGCAGCCGGTAGATGTACCTCTCTCACATCGATGTTTCTCTCTCTCTCTCTCCCTCTCCCTCTGTCTGCAGATAGGTGTAAAAATATCCTCGGGGGAGGATTAAAAAAAAAAAGAAAACTATATATACACTATATGTCCAGTAACTAAAAGTTTATATTGTCACAAAAGAAAAAAAATTAGAAATCCACTCTCTAAAATATTACAGTAATAATTTATCTGTGGATGACAAAATCATAAGATTTTAATTTTATCTTTTAACTTTTCTATATTTCCCAGTTTTCTATAATGATAAATTTATCTCATTAATTATAAAAACAGATAACTTAATTTTAAATTTTAAATTAATTAATTATTTTTATCCTCACCCTAGGATATTTTTCCATCTATCTTCAGATAGAGTGGGAGGGAGAGAGAGACACATTGACTGGCTGCCTCCTGCATGACTCAACCAGGGCTAGGGACAAACCGCAACTGAGGTACATGCCCTTGACTGGAATCAAACCCATGACTCGTTGGTCCTTGGACCCACACTGTAACTGCTGAGCCAAACCAGCCAGGGCTAAAAACAAATAACTTTAAAGAAAATAAAGAATCATCATACCTCACAGTGATGGTGTGTCTATAACTTGGAAGAAGTTTTTCCATATTCAAAAACCTGGTGATTTCTTCAAGAATAAGCCGCACATCCGGATTTAAGTTATCTAAAGTTCGAACTTCGTTATTCACACTGACTGCTGGTGTAACAGAGTTAGCAAGGGCGTCAATCATTTCTGCACGATAATAGTTATCTGAAAACTAAGCCAAAAAATAATTACATAAAGATAAAATTCACGCTTCTGTTAAGAAATTAATAAAATATTTATAACCTAAGATCATAATTTATCTAAAAACACAAGTTGGTAAGTACTCAACTCTGTCCTTTGCGTAGAGTCACACATTAGAAAAAAGTGAGAGACTCACTAATTAGTAATAGATCAGTTTACTCACCAAAAACTTACTACATGAAAGGTACTCTTATAAGTAACCTAGCCAGATTCCTCTATAAACAAACAGCGGTCGTGACCCCTTTGTGGGTTGAATGACCCTTTCACAGGGGTTGCCTAAGACCATTGGAAAACACATATTTCCGATGGTCTTAGGAACCGAGACACTGCTCCGTCTCCAGGAGGGTCCGCCCACATGCAGATATGCCCACATACAACATGAGGAACTGAGTATTAAAGGGCCACTGCATTAGGAAGGTTGAGAACCACTGCTTTGAAAGGATGACCACAGTCCACAAATCCTGCTGGTAATACAGAGCTTCAAATAAGCTACTTAGTGTTTTACTCTCATATATAAACATATAACCAAAGACCACCAGATATTTCAGAAAAGTATCAACATAAAAAAGATCGGGTCAAAGGGAAAAAAAGAAACTTGAAGAACTAGAGTATTCAAGGAAAAGAAAACTAGCAGGGGATTAAAAGTCCAAAACTATCATTAATACTATCTGAGAAATAACCAAAGAGATGCCTCCCAATAGCAAAACATTGTAAAAAGAAAGACATATGCAGAGAATTGGACCAAAATTAAATTTAAATATAAATTTTTTTTAAAAAACTCCTGAAATTCTGAGCAAAAAGAAAGTGATAAAAAGTAGGAAAGAAAGTACCAGGGGATTAGAGGATTGGTAGAGAAGACATAGCATAGGAATCATAGGAGTCTCTAGTAAAAACAATGAAGTGGAGGAGAAAACCATAGGAAAAACAAAACAAAAAACTCCTAGGCCCATATTGCAGTCAATTCCCAGAGAAATTTACTGAAAGGCAATCTGGGTGTGGCTTGACTTAAGCTCAGTAAATCAGATCCTCTAGCCTGGGAACCTGAATGTGGAACCAGCGAGTTAATTCCACCAGCAACACAAACTGCCAGGGACGAAGAGCCTACCTGCCGTCCACTCGCGCTGTGGGGGCGGAACCTCCCACAGACACAAGACAACACCTACCTCAGGGTTCCTAAGTTCAGATACTGAGCAGGAGAAAAACACAAAAAACATGGCCCGCAACAACAACAAACAAACTAAAGAAAAACTACAAGGACACTCTATGGAAAAAGTTCTGTTTTCAAACCATTTATAGGTTGTTTTCTTCAAGTATTTTTATAGTTTCACTGTTCCCTCTGGTAACTACTTTGCCAACAAAGCAAAAGCCCACTTATTTATTAACCACTGTTCCTGATCCAAGTGTTTGGATCACAGAATGGACTCAAAAATTAAAAATGAGAAGGGGTGAGGGTCAAGTAGGAAAACCAAAAGACAGCACTCACTCCTCAGACCACATTCAGTTCTCACGGATACTAGAACCCTAACCGGACATGCTAGACTATCTGATATCTGATAACAAGTAAGGTGAAGTCACTTTGAAAGCATGGCATCCAATAGCTATTTGCTAAATAAATGAATAATCACACATATGGTTAAAAAAATAATAAAATTCACCAATGAACAAGTTATCCCAAGAAGGAATTATTTTCTGGTTATTACTTGGTAAAACAAAAAAGGAGTAAAAATACAACTAGGCTATCAGACTACACCAAAACAAATTTTAGCTGACTCCCCAAAATTTGATGCACAACTATCTCCACATTATGGTATGAGGAACATTAAAAACCAACTAATCTTGGTTTTCATCCACTGGTTACTATAATAAATCAAGTTTACATGTTTCTAATGCTAGAAATTTCAAGTACCACAGATTCAACAATGGTTTTCACAGTCTGAACATTTCTTTAAAAATAAAATATTACTGAGTGGTTTTATAATATTCATTAAGGTATCTTACCTTATTTTTTCTGTTGTCATTGTACTTGATTAAGTCTAAAATAAATGTTAAGACTTCTTTGGGACAAAGGTTGTGAACATTTCTCAACAGAGCCATTGCAACAGGCATAGTCTACAAAAAAAAATTTTAAGCACATAACTTACTTTTCATTACTACAATTCATTGAATTCAGTACATGTAGAAAAAGGGTTACTCTGGGGCAGACACAGGTATCTGATGGAGCCTAATCCCCGCTAATTTCCACCCCCTCCCACTGAGAACATGTCTCTCAAACATTCTAAATAAAGAGCTGAGCAGGAAACCAAGGGGAGAGCTGTGTAACTGGATGCCTTTGTCTTCATTCTTAGAGGAAATACATGTCGTGTACATTACATAAATTCAGTTCTGGGTTTTACAGTGGGAAAGGTATGGGTTTTAACATTAGATAAACCATTATTCAACTCCTACTCTACTACCTACCAAGACGGGTTGTTTGCTAGTTGCTTACTACGCACAAGCCTCACAAGCATTCCTCACAGCCCCTTGCAGAATGACATGACAGTGGCTGGGGGCATTCAGTTCAACCATCAGTCTGAGAAGACACTGGTTCTCCAATACCTCCTCATCTCAGCTTAAGGAGAAATGGTAAATTATCTGAAATCCAGCCTAACAGTCTCCTTCTCAAATGTTCACAGGCAACTTTTCTAAGCAGGTGGAAGCCTGACTCACACAGTGGTGCCCTCTACCATAAAATAAAGCTATTTAAACTCAAGGCAGAACTGCAGATGAACAGACACCACAGTCTCCAGTACACAGGGAGATCTGGACTAGCCCCTATTCTGATTCAAAATAACTACCCCCTCCACACTGAGGGACAAAAGCAGGCTGGCTCCTCTGCCTGCTTGAAGGACCACTGGCAACAGGACACCGAGTGCTACCCCAGCAGCCAGTGTTAACGCTGTAAGAACTGAGGAAAAGACTCTTTTCCATAGCAACATCTGTCCGACGCCTGTTCTGCCCTTTCAGGACTCACGTTTGATTTAGGCACTTAATCACCTCTCTTTTCTGTCACTGAAAGTATTATGTGAAAGGTGAACTGGTCTAAAAGTATAGATTTGCCAATTTTTTTTTATGGCAACCCACAGTAAGAAATACATTTACATCCCAAGCTAACACACACACACACTTAAATGCCATGTTTACAAACTAAATATAAAACCAAAAAATACCTTATACCTACCCTCATTACATGTGCATTGTGACACTGCCTGTTATTTTCCTTTATTAAACACACAGACACACACAAACTTTCAAATTAATTTCATGACCCCCTCACTACTGGGTCACAACTTCCATATTCCAACATGAATATGAAGTACACTGGCATAATGAAGGGGACATACTGGGCAGACAAAGAAATTAACTTGCTTCCACACCATAAATTAGTGAAATAACAACAGAGAGTTGAGCAACATGTTAAGTACCATAAAATGTTCAGTTCTTAAAAATAAAATAACTGGATGCCACAGACTTCTCTGACCAACCTGTCCCGAATCTGTTCTGCTGATCAAAGTCGCTGTAAATATACCATGACTACCCACTCCCAGCAGGTGTCTCAATGTTGCCAGGTAATCCTTCACTTTCCCTCCATCATATATCTCACCTTGCTCAATATTTCCCTCAACATCTATCATTTCACCTACTTTTAATCTGCTTTTTAACTACCTCAAAAAAGACAGGTTCTTATCTTTTCTTAAAATTAACCTCCCCACTATGTCCCACCCACTACCAATACCTTCAGAATTCACTCCATCTTTTTTATATTTACTGGCTCCCATTGAATATTCTCATCTCTCCCTCTCCAATGGTTCCTTTCTCTGTGCTAAATACACCTCAAGGTTTTCCTTCCTCTATCCAAAACAAAACAAACCCAAAATTTCCTTTTCTCAGCCCTGCTTTATCTTCAACAGGTCCCCTTTTTCATACTCTTCACCCCCACACCAGGAAGAAATAGGCTTCGTTAATGTTTTCTACTTCAACTTCACTCTCCTTTCTGGTCCAATCTAGTTCACTAATCTCTGCTTTCATTATTACTAAATTACTCAAAATATTTTACAAATTATTTCCAAATTGCAGATGATGACCACTCTGTCATCCTCACACTGATTCCTAAACCAGTGACTCCCCTCAGACCACCACTTTCCAAATTACCATTGATAAAAAACTTACTGTATGAAAAATATAATCTAAAATACTTCACATGCTTGGCCCTGGCCGGTTTGGCTCAGCGGTTAGAGCGTCGGCCTGCAGTCCGGAGAGACCCGGGTTCGGTTCCCACTAAGGGCATGTGCAGTTTGTCCGCGGCCCTGGTTGGGTCGTGTGGGTGGCAACCACTCGATGTGTCGCTTTCACATCGATGTTTCTCTCTCTCTCTCACTCTATCTGAACCAAATATCAAAAAAAAAAATGTCCTCGGGTGAGGATAAAAAAAATAAATTAATTAAAAAAAAAATAAAATACTTCACATGCTTGATCATTTAATTCCAAAGAGGATAGGTTTCCAGCTGAGTAAACTGAGGCTGCGTGCTGAGACCTGCCCTCGTGCAGACGCCGGCGAGGAGCAGAGCTGGGACTGAGCCCGCGCTGTGCGGCTTGTCTCTGACCCAGATATGCTGTCCATGTCCTAGAAGGACTTCCCACACCTCCATCCCCCATGCGACCAGCCCCAAATTCAATCTGGCCATTTCTACTCATTTTATTTTGAATGTGGGTAGTGAGTTACTTTCACAAAGCTCATAAAATCAATGAGCAATCACTTAATTAAAATTTTGGAAAAAATTTTAGGAAAAAAAAGCAAAAACTTCTAGAAGAAAGTAAACACATCTATTATTTGAATAATATCCAAGTTAAACTGAGATATACAGATAGTGGCATAAAACAATCGTAAGAAATTTGGAAATTAAATTGTACCTTCTGTAGAAAATAACTTTGAAAGCTCATAAAGTTGTTTGTTTTCACAATGTTTGGACAAGTTTTACAACAAAACATTCTAGTAAAGAGTGACTTCATGGCTGGTGGTCCTGTCCATGTGCTCACCATTGAATTTGCAATCTGCAAATAATTATAAAACAAAGTAATTTCCATCACCACGGCAAACATTTTTAAATAAACAAAACGGCTTTCTAAAAGTTAGCAATGCAATTGAATTAGTTTTCAACGACTTCAATTCTCAGAAATTTAATACATTTTAGCCTTTCATTATCATTTCTAAGAAAATAAAATATCCCCCCAACTTTTTATGTACACTTATAATTATTTTCTACAGGTTAATTTTGAAACTGGAGCATTTTTTATGCTTTACGAAAACATGTTTGCAAGAGGCAAGTTTGTTTGTCTATTTAGGTAGATGTAATTCTAACATTTTAAATGTATCAGCTAGAAATATCACCATGGATTTAAAGAAAGTTTTAAAATCTACCCTAATTAAAAAACAAACCAAGTACAGTGCCACCATTTAAGTCTATAAGCATGCTTACAAAAAAAGTATCTTGCTATTGATACTTATAATTTATATAAAAGTCATATCTGAAAAGACAATTAACTTTAACAATTTTATGGATCTCCTAAGAATTTGCATGCAAGAATCATAAAGATCTTTATGAAAGCAATGAAATTTTATCCTTAGCAGATAAATTATCAAAGACAATAATCTCTTCCCTCATATATCTCAATAGAGGGTAGGAATCCACTTACTCACCAGTGACCATTAAAGATAAAACAAATCCAAACCACTATATTCTGGTGAAATGTTAGACAAATAAATTTAGCAGTGAGGAAGGCAAGAGAGTCACTAAATGGGAATGAACTTATTATCAAGATGTTTTTAAATACCTGGAACCCAGTATTTCTGGCCAAATTTTTGTCTGTGTTTTTCTGGTTTTCATTTGTTCTACCTTCAGTTTTTTTGCATCTAAAGAAAAATATTTAGAACCTATCATTTTAAATTACATATCGCTAGCACTGATTACTAAACCCAAACCAACATGAAACAATCACCACAGTAAGATAATTAAGATAAACTGATTCCATGTAATCTAATGTCAAACTAAGAAATTTCTTACCAAATATATTCTTTGCTCAATGTAGCTGGCAAGTCAATACTGTGGCAGGATAATAAGAAGCTAGGGAAGCCAGGCCAGTATGCTCAGTAGTTAGAGCACTGGTGCAAGCACCAAAAGATCACTGGTTCAATTCCCAGTCAAGGTCACATACCTGAGTTGTAGGTCCAATCCCTGGCCCCATTCAGGGTGCAGGTGGGAGGTAACCAATGGATATGTCTCTCACTGGATGAATCCCTCTGGTTCCCCACCTCCCTCCCTCCTACTCTCTCTAAAAATCAACAGAAAAAATATCCTCAGGTAAGGATTAACAACAACAAAAGAAGCTTAGGGACACTCCTTGATAAGTGGAATAAGAGAAACTGAGACAAAATAATTAAACATGGTCAAATAATTTGAGCACTTTACAGCCAGCTAATAAATCACAAGGTTTTATCTTCCCTAATCGAGTAAACTTAGGAGCAAATAGTTTACACATTCCAGACCGTCCTGGGACAGAATAGGCCTTGGTCCTGGACACTCTCCAATGACGTCCTTTGAAAATAAAACTAAGCCGAAAATAACCCTACCCCCTCTATATACACATTTTGATGAGTCGACATATTGAAGAACATACCTTGAAAAACTAATGAATATTCTGTTAAGACCTTCCTGAGACCTCCCAGCTGGCCAAAGAAAGATAAAAAGCCTCAAGACAAAGGACCCACAGCAAGCTCTGGCTATAGCCCACCCATGCCTTGAATATCTGCTTTCTTTCTCCTAAACTCTAAGGGACCCCATGAGACTTGCAACCAGGGGAGCAGCAGGCAGCGCCAGCTTATCCTGGGCTTACCCAATGAAACTGTCTCCAAAGCCCCCTTTTCTCTCTCTCCTGCTACTTCTTCTACCTTAAGCCCTTCCTTTGTTTCACTGTCCTGAGCTTAATAGACAAACTTCAAAGTCACATGGACTTGTGTTGTGAAATTTTTCCTGCCTGAAGTAAAAGAACCCACACTACCAGCTAGCCAAGGAGACCCATTCTAGACCCAGACCCTGCTCGGTAATAAAACAATGATAAAAAATTCTCTTTGGTTTTAAAATCTGATTTTCAGTTTGACAATTACAAAATTTTAGTATATTACCTATTTTCAGGTCAAAACATGTTTCTTTCAAATAAGTCTTGCTAAAAGCTTTTGGCAAAAGCATTCACGGGAGCGCTGGCTGGGTGGTTCAGTTGGATTTTTATTCATTTTTAATTTGTTTTCAAGGTTTTATTTTTTTAAATATATTTTTATTGCTTTTTTAGAGAGAGAGGAAGGGAAAGACAGAAACATTGATGAGAGAAATATTGATCAGCTGCCTCCACATGCCCCCGGCAGGGGATCAAGCCTGCAACCAGGCATGCGCCCTGACCAGGAATTGAACCAGGACCTCCAGGTCCATGGGACGATGCTCAATCCACTGAGCCACGCAAGCCGGGCTAGAATTTTATTTTTTAAAATATGCAGTACTCAATCTTGTGTTCTTTCTTCCTACTGTATATAATCTCACCTTTGCAAGGCAGAAGCAAGCTGACATTCTTACTCGGTAGAAACACTGCTCTTGTTCTAGTATGTCAGTGAGCGCAAGCCGCGACGCTGGCGTGGGGAACTTCTCCAAGGCCAAGATGGACTCTTGCTGTGCCACGACATCCCTCTCGTAGCGGAGCTGGTACTGCCACATAAAGTCAGCCTGCTCAAACTCTACTTTCCTCAGGACTGACATATCAGGGTCTATCCTTATCCACAGCAAAGGGGAATCAGCACTGAAAGAAAACATAATTTTCCTTTTTATTTATTTTTTTAATTTTACATATTCATAAAATAAAAACAAAGCACTTATCAATCAGATTCTTTTCTGTGTGCAGTATTCAAGACTGCCTGGGGTTTTATGTATTGACCTTTTCAAATCACACTGCCAACTTTCTCCTTTTGTTTAATATATTTCAACTTCATCACAATGTCTGTCTATATCAATTTTGCTAAAAAGATCACCGAAGATAGTAAGATTTGCTAAAAAGAAATTCCACCTGAAACTATTTGGGACTTTGATTTGTGATTACATAATGTGAAAAGGGAAAGGAGACCAAGTTTCTTCATTTCACTTCCTATAGACAAATAACTGACTATGGCTGTAAGTGCACCCCTTGCTGGAAATCAATCTGTGACTAAGAAATGAATTATTTTACTCAATTAACTTGTTTTAACTGACTTTTAATACTTTATTTTTTTATCCTCACCCAAGGACATTTTTTGCATTTATCTTCAGACAGAGCAGGAGGGAGAGAGGGAGGAAGAGAGAGAAACATTGATGTTAGAAAGACACATCGACTGGCTGCCACCAACACAACCCCAACTGGGCCGGGGACAAACTGCAACCGAGGTACGTGCCCTTAGCAGGAACCGAACCCGGGACACTCTGGTCTGCAGGCCGACGCTCTAACTGCTGAGCCAAATTGGCCAGGGCAATACTTTATTTTTTAAATCCTAGACTCCTGACCACCTTTTTCAAACACTAAATTCTGAAATCATAGTTTGTAGGTATATCACAAATTTAATCTTATGTACTTCTCAAGGTAACAAGCACATTTTTAATCAGTCTAGAGTAGATAAAAAAGCTGTGGTACATACACACAATGGAGTACTAAGCAGCTGTAATAAAGATCTCTTATCCTTGCCCTGGCCAGTTTGGCTCAGCGGTTGAGCATCGGCCTGCGGACCAGAGAGTCCTGGGTTCAGTTCCCGCTAGGGGCACGTACCACCAAAAAAAAAAAAAAAGATCTCTTATCCTTTGAGACAACATGGAGGAACCTGGAAAGTATTATCCTAAGTGAAACAAGCCAAGCAGAAAAAGACAAATACCACATGATCTCACTTATTTGTGGAATATAATGAACATAACAGTCTGAGGAATAGGGTAGACCCAGAGACATGGAAGTAGGGTACAGACTGAAGAGGGGGTAGTGGGGAGAGGGAAGAGATAAACCACAGAACTTATATGCATGTATGCATAACCAATGGACATGGACAACAAAGCCGGGGACAGGGCGGAGGGGATGGGGAGGAGGGTGTCAATGGGGTAAAAAAGGAGAAACATCTGTAACAAAAATAAAATGAAAAAATAAAAATAAAAAATCTAATCTCTGTCAACCCTTTTATCAAAGGACCACCACTTAAAATATTAATTCAATTCATTAAATACCACTGAGTACTCACGATAGCCAAGGCATGTGATATGGAAAAATTATAAAAATGATATATAAACAGTAGTGATGTCTGGCAACCAAGTTAGTAAATAACTGCAGATGTTTTATAAAAAATATATAGGCACAATACAAATGGAAAAAAGTCTTAGCTATATATTTAAAAATAAAACTTTCAATAAATATTATCACATAAAATTTTAAAATAATATTTAAACTGTGTTTTGTAAGCATAGGTAGGGAGCCTTAAAGTACCCTGAAGCCTTGTCCAAAGACAAAGAGAATCAGCTACCACCTGAGAGTTCATGAAGAGAGTTCACTAGTACAGCACTGAATCAGACACTGCATTTTCAGAAGATCCCCAAGTGACTGACATGCATGTTATGTTTGAGAAGCACTGGCGCAGAGACCAGCAGGGTTGCAAGACAGCTGCCTACGTCAAGACTGTGCCCATCTCCACCCTGTATTTCATCTCAGTTTCACCAGGGCCAGGATAGATTTACTTTCCTCTCTTTGATTATTTTTTAATTTTTAAATAAAACTTATTGGGGTAACATTGGTTAATAACATTATATACATTTCACCACCCAAAGTCTAGTCTCCTCCTGCCACCTTATATTTGACCCCCTGAACCCTCCTTATCCTCCCCCACTCCTTTCCCCTCTGGTAACTACTGTATTGCTTGTGTCTTTGAGTTTGTTTTGTGTGTTCATTTATTGCTTTTTGTTTTATATCCCAAGAGAGAAATCATACGATTCTTGTCCTTTTCCACCTGACTTATTTCACTTAGCATGATACTCTCAAGATCCATCCATATGGTCACAAATGGCAATATTCATCTTTTGTTTGGCTGAGTAGTATCCCACTGCATATGACTTTATGTAAGATTTATTTTAACATAAGGTTCCATTGCCTTTCAAAAGTTTTAAAAGCACTAATTTCAGGACATTTATATACTTTAAGATGTACATAAGACAAACGAAAATGCAGAAAATAAGTACTTAAACTTAAGTAACTAACTTACTCCATTGCAGAAAGATCCATATCAACTTCCTCTCCATTCATCAGTGGAATTTTTTTCTTCTTATTCCTACATTTAAGAAAAAGTAAGTTTGAAATTGTGACATTTCCAGTTTTTAAAGGAGATAAAGAGCAGCCAATAATCAAGTAAAGGATTTCATACAACACTGAAAAACATCCTAAGGAAGAAGGAATAGTAAACGGAAGGGAATTTAATCAAAACAAAACCTATTTTGAAGTTGAAGGAATGAAGTAAATGATACTGAAATGTCACTGTGATCAAAGTTTAACAAAAAGAAAAAATATATAATTAAATGTCAACTTTAAACATATTCCCAAGAACTGGTAGCTATAGTTTTATGTAGAAAAAATAAGAGAGCTATCAAGAAAAAACCCTTTGTAAAAAAAAAAGTGAAAGAAAATATAGCCCTGGCTGGTATAGCAGCTGGTTGAATGTTGTCCCCTGCACCGAAAGGTTACCAGTTCGATCCCTGATGGAGGTGCGTATGGGAGGCAACTGATTAATGGTTTTTCTCTCTCTCTCCCCCTTCCTCTCTTTCTAAAAATCAATAAAAACTACATGTATTTTTTTTTAAAGAAACTATAACCAGGCCTGAATTAAGACATAAATCATTCTGAACCTGTGCTGTGTGCGACAGGTGCTGTCCAAAATGAAATGGAGTGGTTAACTATAACACATCTTAACACTAATTAGTGTACTACTAACATACACAAGATTTAAGATAAACAAAAGCACTTGCTTCCATGCAAATTACGCTTGAATCATAAAATCTATTGGAGAACACAATAACATGAGTTAGGATGAATAAAATAGGAGAGAGAACAGTCTTCCTACATTCCTTATACCAGAGAATACCAAATGACACACTGTTATTATAGAGAGAAAAAAACTGAGGAAATGATAGGAGGAGGGTAGCAATTAGATGTTCCCAATATCAAAGAAAGAAAGGATAAAAAGAAAGGGGGATTTCACTTTGAACTAAGAAAAAATTTTCACGGAGAAAGAATAATTACAGAGAGATTCCATAATCAAGTTCCCTGAAGGCCCTCAAAATCAACTGACGTTCTCATGTCTAAGAGGACCTAAACGTAGGCATGAGTATAGACTTCTGTTCCTGAAATTTTGATATTGCTACACATTACTACAGCAAAGCACAAAAGTATTCTCCTTTCCCTATCCAGAGTACATGTTAATGGCCAAGTTAAAAAAAAAAAGGTGATACAGAAAACATACTAAATAAAGATGAATGTGGGAAACTTCTAAGTACACTGGTGCTGTGCCTCTGAAAGGCAGTGAGCATGTCTGCAGGGCGTGGGGATACAAGCCAGGGAGACACACAGTGTAGATGACGCAGTGGCTTTCATGATGTGTGTTCAGCTCCTTCTTTTATATCCAATAACCATTTCCCCAATATTTCCTGTAGATATTAATCCAATGAGACTAATAAGAATTAAAACTAAGCAATTTGCTTTCAATTTTTCCTAGTTTCAAAAACCCAAACTTCTATTCCACCTCCTCCTATCCCTACAAAATAAGAATTCTCAAACCTAAGTTGTAAAATTACTTAATTCTAAGATAAACATGTTATCAAAAACAGAAAACAAACATAGAATGTTTGGTAATACTAACTTGAAGTAAAATGGGGGGAAAAGATACCAGATAACATGTTCTCTTATCTAAAAATTAGATATTTTTAGGATTTTTATTTTGGCATTTTAATCTGTGAGACTTACAATTTAATTATAAACTTCAATTTATAATTATGATTCAATGCCTACCTTCTGCTTTTGGAGTGGCAGGGTATATCATGTTTAAGGCTGTTTTCTTCAATTTGCAATGTATGATTGAAGGATCCATCTAATTCCTGCACTGTCACTTTAAGCGGTCCCTTTAAAAAGAAACATACTGTTCATAGATAGTGCTAGAAAAGTATCAAGAGAAAGGCAATTGGTACCAAAGAAGGGGATTTTGGAAGAATCTGTATCCCCTGAAATCTCTATAACCGACTTCCCTTCAGGGACACCTGGTATATGCTCAATTTAATTCTTTGCAAACAACATCTCATTAGGAAACTTCTAACCAGACCTCCACCCATAAGCCCTTCCTATACTGTAACTGGGGAGAAACTAATGCAAAAGACCACTTAGAAAAAGCAAAAAAAACTTACCACATATTTCTGAGTTCCAGGAGATGTATAATCTTGTTTTATTTCTAATTCCAAGACATTTCGTTTTCTATTAAATGCAAAACTTCCATAAAATTTTACCACTCCACTCTGGTCTCTAAAGAACTGTAAAGGAATTTTTGCATACTGAAATGAATACATACTAAACAAATTATTCACTGTAGTAGTAATAATTTTCAAATGCACTGCCACCAGTTCAAAGCTTGAGAGCATGCTTCATTGTAAAGCAGGTGGCAAAGTATTCAAAATTCTTGTGAAAAATGTTTCCCCAGGTTTAAATAGAATTTCTGAAACATTAAGAAATTTGTGCTTTGAAAGAAGTAAAACCACTTTACTGGGTTGTTAATATAATGAAATGAGAAAATGTAAAAACTAAAAAGTTCCAAGATATCATTCAAGTGGTGCCAAGTTATAACCAAATCTACAAGTCATCAGACCACTGCGTCTTCCGAGTGACCCTACAGGCCTGTCTGCTGAATTATTTACCTCCCCTACCATCAAGCCTATTGTTGTACTTACACTAAAAACTACTTCAAAATATCCCAAATTTTACAAATAGTATAGATGTGTGTGTGTGTATGTGAAAGAGAGTGAGTGTGTGTGTATGTGTGTGTGAGAAAGAGAGAGAGAGAAAGATCTCAATGATTAGCAAGCACCTTATAGGAAATGATTTAGTTTGTGGTTATATTTACTATTATTTAGAACTATAAATAGTTCTGTCGGGCCAGTGTGGCTCAGTGGCTGAGCGTTGACCCATGCACCAAGAGGTTGTCGATTCGATTCCTGGTCACGGCACCTGCCCAGGTTGTGGGCCAAATCCCCTGTGGGGGGTGTGCAGGAGGCGGCCAATCAATGTTCTTTCTCATCAATGTCTCTCTCTCTCTCTCTCTCTCTCTCTAAAAACCAATAAAGAAAAAAATTAATATAGTTCTTACTCTTCATCCCCCAAATCTTTCTTCCTCCCTCTCCTTATACATATAATCTTATACCCACACCCTTTGTTGAACTGCTGTTTAAAAGGATACACCCACTGCTTTATTAAAGGCTGAATGTCTTTGCCAGAGACATTTGAGATGGATTTCAAAAACCCAGACGTGGAAACCAACATTTGACTCCACATATGTGACTGGAACTTCTGAGATGAAGCTGTACTAGCCAAACTTAGCAGTTTATTGAATACCTGTAAGGAAAAAGTGTAACTTTGCATCATTTAGTAACATAATATACATTGCTTTCAATTCTCTACTAAACCACTTTGCAATATAACTTTATTATAGTCAATTACACAAGACAATAATTTTGCATCTTACTACATAGATTGTTCTAGTTAAAGCCTATCAATAGTAGAATTAAACAGCCAGAATAAAAACCATTCTTCCTCTAAATATAACTGAATTTTAATAATTTTTGGCCAAACATTAAATGATGTTTTTAAGAATTATAATAATAATAAAAATAATATATACCTATAATTTATTATGCTATAAACTTTACATGGAAACTAAACATCATTTAAGAAGTTGAGAATGGTCCTGGCCAGTTTTGCTCAGCGGTTAGAGCGTTGGCCTTCGGTCCAGAGACACCCAGGTTCAGTTCCCACTAAGGGCACGTGCCTAGGTTGCAGTTTGTCCCAGGCCCTGGTTGGTCGTGCGGGTGGCAGCCACACAATGTGTCCCTTTCACGTTGATGTTTCTTTCTCTCTCTCTTCCTCTCTCTCCCTCCCACTCTATCTGAACAAAAAAATGGAAAAATGTCCTTGGATGAGGATTAAAAAAAAAAAAAAAGTTGGGAATGTTCAACAGGATTTATACCACCCCAAAATAGTAACTGGCTCTTCATGAATCACCTTTCATTTAATTTGTCTGTTCCTTACTCTAAAGACAAGGTGAGTCCAGCCAGTGTGGCTCAGAAGTTGAGCATCAACCCATGCACCAAGAGGTCACCAGTTCGATTCCTGGTCAGGACACATGCCCAGGTTGTGGGCCTGCTCCCCAGTGGGGGGCATGCAGGAGGTGGCCAATTGATGCTCTCTCTCATCGATGTTTCCATCTCTCTCTCCCCTCACTTCCTCTCTCTCTAAAATCAATAAAGGAAAAAAATTTTAAAAAAGAGATAAATAAAAGACAAGGTGAAGGACAGAAGATTAAAGAAACCTTAATTTTAGGGCAAACTCTAAATGCTTTTTTGTTTGGTTAATCCAAATAAAACCCAAGGGGGGGGTGTGCTTGCGTGCGTGTGTCTATTTTTCTTTCCCCCACTGAATTTTAGAGAGTGGAAGGGAAGGACAGCGGGAGAAAGATAAATAAACATCCATGAAAGAGACACACACACACACACACACACAACCATGACCGGGGCTGAGGATTGAACTTGCAACCCAGATATGTGCCTTTGACCAGAATTGAACCCTAGACTCTTTGGTCAACAAGGTGATGCTCAAACCACTGAGCCAAACCGGCCAGGGCAAACTTAAAATGCTTTTTAAAAAATGTTACTAAAAAGTTATTTCTCGCTTAACTCTAAAAATGTTATTAGTGGAAGAAAATAGGTGAACATTTATAATATGTCTGGTTTCTACTATCTCAACTATTATCTCAACAACTTACACCAGAACTTGCTTACAGTATACGGCAGAATTTTACAAAAGCAAAAATAATCATCTTTTAGATAGATGTGCCTTTTTCTACTGAAAAAATTTCTCAATGGCACTGCATACTTAGTATTCCAAACAATGCTGAACAAAATCATATGCATAAATAGGTTTTACTTTCATCCTTACATTCTAATTTTACCTTCATAATAATCCTGCATTAAGTGGGTTAAGTACTGATATCCATTCTATACCTGAAGATATACCAAAAAGCATAGGGCTACGTGGGCTAACAGCTAAGACGAACAGAACTCCACCTTATACATCCAGATACCCTGACACTATTTACAGAATAGTATTCAGATTACACACATACAGTACAGATCTTTCCTTATAATTGCAAAGTTCTTAACTTTAATACTTACTTGTAGCATGAATTCCATACTGATCCTGTTTTCAATCAATCTCATCACAAGGTGAGCTTTACACTGAAACATAGTGTAGTACTCCCAGGAGAGCGTATGTGGATGCTTTACTGAAAAGTGTAGATGGGATGCTGGACTAAACAAACAAACAGAGTTACTTAATATAACAAATTTAAATATTAAGTAAACAGTAAGTTTCAGGGCCACAACAAGACAATAAATCAAAAACCTCAGGGGAATACCTTAGCAATTTCCTTAATATGAAAGTAACAAAAACTAGAAAACACACACACACACACACAAAATACAAGATGAACTACACATCTAAAACAAAAACAATTATAAAAGTACTGAAAGAAAATAAAGAAAAAAATGATTCCCATAATTTAGGGGTGGGAAAAATCCTCCAAAAGAAAAATATAAAATCTGGAGGACATTAAAACCAGATCGACTATATAAAAATTTAAGAGATCATCAGTAAATTAAAAGAAAGGTACAGTCTAGTAGAATTACTGAATTACATCTTGTATAAGTCATATACACATAAATAAAAGCAAAAACAGAGGTCCATATATTAAAAGACAATATATCAAATTTATAATCATGGTTGTCTCCAAGGAGAGGTTTTGATGGAAGTGAAGGGTGGTAAAAGAGGGCTAAAAAGGATCTTTTATGTTTTTAAACTGTCGTGTTTAATATTTCTTTTTTTTAAATCCTCACCTGAGGATATTTTTTCATTGATTTTCAGATACAGTGAAAGAGAGGGAGGGGGGAGGGAGAGGGAGAGGGAGAGGGAGAGGGAGAGGGAGAGGGAGAGAGAAATATCCACATGAGAGAGACACATCAATTGTTGCCTCCCACACAACCCTGACCAGGGCCAGGGATCGAACTGCAACCTTTGGTCTGTAGGCTGAGGCTGACGCTTTAACCACTGAACCAAACCAGCCAGGGCCTGTGTTATATTTCTTAAAAGAGCACATATTCATGTGCTGCTTTTATATATACATTTTAAAAATTAAACATACAGCCCTGGCCAACCTGGCTCAGTGGTTAGAGAGTCAGCCCTTGGACTGAAGGGTCACAAATTTGATTCTTGGGTCAAGGGCCTGTACCTGGGTTGCAGGTTCAATCCCTGGCCCTGGTCTGGGTTGTGGAGGAGGCAACCAATTGATTTCTTTCTCTCACATTGATGTTTCTCTCTCCCTCCCTCCCTTCCATTTTAGCTACAATCAATGGAAAAATTTCCTCGGGAGAGGATAACCCTCCCTTCTCCCCAATTACACAAACAAGAAGTAAGTAATCGGGCATAACCAAGGTAAGAGCATTCTGTGTGAGCACCATTTTCATACAATGGAAATGCTCTATTGACATACTGGGAGACTGCCACACAGCAGGCAGCCAGGAGAAGAGAGTGAAAGGAATAATGCTTCCTGAGTGAGTGTGTATGTACTGTGTATGAACATTTGTCTCCAGTGAGCTCACAACCAACCTGGTCAAGATAGATCATGAAACATCACTGTCACTTTACACATTAATACACGTACTCGCTCTCTGAAACATTATGCAGTTTTCTTAGATCACCAAAATTAATACTAATAAAAAATCCAAGTTTGTCTAACTCCAAATTCCCATGCTTTGCTAGGGACCTGATCTTGTCTCAGTGACCATGACAAAGAAAGGGCTCCTGGTTAGACAATTTCAAGTTTCTTCATCTTTGTTGTGCTTTTAGACACTTGGGGAGTCTAAGTAATTCTAGGGGCCCCATATAAGAAAGTAGTTTAAAATGCACAAAATAAAATTTACAGGATTACAAGAAAACCAATTATAATGAAATACAGTTATCAAAATAGTTTTAAAAATGACATACTAATATACATGCTAGTTTATCAGTGCAGTAAATAATAAGATCTAGCAGTGGTCTACTATAGTAATTTTACACAAAGAATATTTCAAATTATCTGCTAACAATTATAATGTGACAGGAAAATATCCATGATGTCTATTGTAGACAAAGTCACAGCATTGTCTGTTGCCTACATTCGAAATGAAAGAAAACATAAAATTTCACTTTATGTTTAGTAAAAATATAAAAAAATCCCCATCCAATTCAATCTGCATTCCTTCTGGGAATCCATGGACCCTAGAAAAAATAAGAATCCCTGCTAGCACCATTATTTTGTTGTTTGTGGCTGTATCCTTTACAGTGACATGCTTTAAAAAACAGAAAGATAATAAAGAAAGAAGGAAGGTGAGAAAAGGAAATAAAAAGAAACAAGGAAAGAGTAAATAAGTATCTAGATAGGTGACAACTCAAATAAATAGGTATAGTTAGGATGTCTTGATACTGAAATTATTTACTTAGACTTAAAATAATTATCAGTGTTTCCATTATTTTAAAAGTTTTATGAGAACAGTATGCTATAGTAGCATTAGAAATTAACATGAAAAATAAAAAGCATTCTATTTTTAAGTCTTTTTAAAATATTTACATCCATTTATAGCCACCACATGTAATAAAAACAGTAATGAGAAGATTACCACTGGCCTCAACATTATTACCTACTGTTATTACTACCTCTTTGGTCTGTGGGGGCCTCAACACCCATACAAATGATCCTAAAAGAGCGACCCCATAAAACAAGGTTTATAATATCATCTCTGAACAATAAACATACTTATCCTTCTCTTTTCCTCCACCAAATATGGGATGTAGTAAAACTCCACCAGTTTTCAGTTCATACGCCACTATTTTGTCCAGCTCCTAAAAATAGGAATCAGTGAAGATTTTTTCACATATAAATTTAAAATCAAACTGTGATTTCTCATTTCCTGGAATTAGTATGTAAGTTTCTTAAATAAATTAAATGTATTTGGAGAGTAATTTATGTTCTTATAAACAAAGCAAACTGCACAGCTGGATGAATGCCAGCACCTAAAAGCCTTGTCTAATTTGTGACTTCAGGGCTGGTCAGTAGCCTGGCAACTTTCCTAATAGCTCTTCCCAACCTCTCTAACTGGTTTTCCAAGTTTATTTCTTCCTTCTCTATATTTTGCTTTGATGGAGGATTTAGGCAAGTAAAAAGAAATGGGGATAAAATTATGTCAGAAATCCTCTAGTATTCTCCAATATGACATACGTCAAAGTAAAAAAAGAGAAAAAAAGCTTAAGTGAAAAAAGAGAATACAACTGTGCTAGAAATTCATGACTAGTTTAAATAATATACAAGCAGAATAGAGAAGTGGTAAAAATCATAGTGAAGTGGTTAAAAGCCAGGTCTAAATCCTGGCTCTACTACTTACTAGCTGTGTAACTTTGGCCAAATAACTTAACCTCTCTGTGCCTCAGTTTCCTCATCTGTAAAATGGGGATAATAACAGAGTAGTTAGGAAGATTAAGATAGTTAACATTTATAAAATGTTTACAACAGTGCCCAAAACATGGTAAGTGCTATTATGTCATTTCCACTTCGTTAATAGTTTTTGAAATGAAGAATGGACTCTTCAAATCTAGATGTAGCAATTCTTTTACAGGTATAAATGTCTGATATCTTTTACAATTAACTTTTGGCTTACTTAAGTTCAGGTCTGGATGATGAAGATAAATACAATGAGAAATCAGGGAAAATGGAGGGGGTCTATGAAATGAGGATAGTAAAGCCTAAACTTTTCCACCTGAGAAGAAGCATGATATTGTTAAAATGTATATGCACATGAATGGGCTAGACAAAATAGTTGATTTCTGTCTTTTGGGCTAAATCAGTTATAAGAAAAACACTCACTAACAATGACAGCATGAATGCACTGAAGGGCTACCTAGCATACAATATAAGCAGTTACTATGTACAAGGCACCATGCATATTACATGTATGATATCTCATATCCCCATCCATGGGGTAGATACTAATACTCTCTCCTTACACAGATGAGGCTTGGAAAGATTAACCAAAGTAACAAAGCTTGTAAATGTATTAGGCAGACTGAAAAGCAATCTGACTCTGGAATCTGGACTCTGAGTCTAAACAAATTTAGCAGAAAGAAACATTAAAAATAACTACTATGGCCCTGGCCTGTTTGGCTCAGTGGTTAGAGCATCACCCTGCGGACCAATGAGGCGCAGGTTCGATTCCAATTAAGGGCACGTACCTCTGTTGTGGTTTGTCCCCAGCCCTGGTCGCATCGTGCGTGCAGGAGGCAAACAGTTATGTGTCTCTCACGTTGATGTTTCTTCCTCTCTTCCCTCTCCCTCTCCCTCCCTCTCACTCTATCTGATGATAAACAGAAAAATATCCTCAGGTGAGCATTAAAAAAATAAATAAAGTAAAATAAAGATGACTACTATGAGAAGTTGGAATATACCTAATAACTAACTTGATGTTTAAGGAGCTTAAATATTCGGTTCCTTAGGGGAAAAGTCTTTAGAGGCCAACACTGACAATGGAAACGGGGTAAAACGGACCATAGTCTTTCTCAGTATAGTGATTCTCTTTACTAGAAAAAAATTAGAGACTTTTGAATGACAATAAGTATTTTACAATTATTAAAGACAAAGGACATGCAACTTTGAAATCAGGAGAACACCAGCATGTCTTATTGACTTCTAAGTGGTTAATGGATCTAGCTATTTTTACCTCTTTAATCCAATGGCGGTATTCATTAACACCAAAAGTTTTTTTCATCCAAAGTCCATATATATAGCCTGAAATTCCCTTCAGTACCCATTCATCAGACCTAACCAAAAAGTGAAAATATGAACTTTAATCATAAAAATTCTTCAGATAAGACAGAAGATAACAGGTCTAGTGTGTACTTCTCTGCCTTCTTAAAGAAAATGAATATTATTAAGTTATATGGTTTTCCCACTTCTTCCAGCTGAGTTCTACTTGTCCACTGCCTGTGCATTCTTCATCTGGCTTCATCGTTAAGTGTAGGACTGCTGCAGGCTTAGTCCGAGTACAACGCCTGCGTTTGTGTTCTGCTCCAGCAGTGCTACTTCCCTCTTGTCCAACTCTGCCCATATAGTTATCCTCTAAAAAATACCTGCCTGGAGCCAGGACTGTACTGCTGAATTCTTCAAGTTCGCATTCTTTTATTATCAATCCCATGCAGAATTATCAATGGGATTCCAAGACCTGAAGTTTAATTACTTAATTTTTTAGTTTCTCAAGAGGAAAGGCAATCGACATCACTCATTCATATCTTAAAACATTCCTTCATTTGTTCATTCAAACATTTTGCCTACCCTGTTCTGGGCACTATTCTTTAATGAAACTATGTAATTTAAGAAAGTTACAAATCAAGAGGCTTTACCCTCTGACCTCTCTACTCCAACCAGGGAAAAATAAACAATATTCACATACCATTTATAGCATAGAATGGTCACAATTATAAATGATAATCTTAAGGAAGTTTCCTGTGTTTCTTCAAATTCATCTCAAGTTGATCAAAAAGAAAATAAAAAGTGTTCTTATCTTTTACATTGTTCAAGTAAATTAGTACAAAGCTAGGCACTAGCAGGGAAATTCCTACATCATTATCACTATTGTAGAGGACCATTATTTTGCCTTAAACATTATCTTGAACATTACCAACTGCACTGAGCATTGACATTAAAATTCTAACTATAATTTTCTGTGCATTCAAGTCCTTTTACCTACAGTATTTATTCAGTTTTTAAAGAAATTGTTGCTATCAAAATTCTTACCTTATTCTTATTGCAAATTACAGACTTAACTATATTGAAATAAAGGGAAAAAAATTTAGGATGAAATTTATACTCATTATATTTCTTTAAATATATATAGAATAGTGTCTTATAGATTAACTACTGCAGGAAGCATGGAGGTCAGCTTACACTGTAGAAAAAATAAAAATAAAAAAAAATTTCTCAATTCTTTTTCTCAGTAGTTGTAAACTTTGAAACTACTCACCAAGACATTCTGGATATAAAACACCCAAAAAACTGCTGGGCCAAGGACTGGGCTAAACACCTCCTAGTCAAAGGTGTCTCATCTATAATCATGGCACTGTGTAACAGATTTGTGCTGGAATTTAAAAGAGACAGCTAGTTATAACCAAGAATCAAACAATTATTATTATTATTACTTTTAAATATGTGTTTATTAATTTTTTTAGAGTGAGAGGAAGGGAGAGAGAGATAGAAACATTGATTTGAGAGAGAAACATAATCGGCTGCCTCCTGCATGCCCCCTACTGGGGATCAAGCCCACAACCCAGATATGTGCCCTGACTGGGAATCGAACCTGGACCTCTCGGTCCATGACACAACGCTCAATACACTGAGCCAAACTGGCCAAGTGAAATAAACAATTATTGAGTCAAAATAAAATAATCACACATTTAAAATAATAGAATTTAAGTTGGGCATAAAAGAGAAAAACCAGAATATTTTCCCAAAGAGCTTTAGCATCTTTTAAAAATATAACTGAAATCCATAATCTTGATACATTTTACTTAAAGCAAGGATTCCAGTATTTCCCACTGATTTCCATGAAACGCAGATACACCTTTTTGTGGGCAAAGGGGAAGCATCATTAGTCAGATATGTTAATAAAAAATGAATCCTCCTATGAAGGGCTCATGTAATCTTTCCCAAATAATAACTATTAATTTTTTTTAGCTCGTTTATTTACTTCCATACACAGTGACCCATAGGATCCTTCCAACAACACTCTGGAGAATGTAGGACCAGTGTTATTATCCCCTTCCTACAGGTGAGAAAACTTAGGATCAGGTAGGGTAAAATGACTGACCTTGACACACAAACTTCCAAATTTGAAACTTGTCAAAGAAGGAAACAGAGAAGGGAGAGAGGTAAAGAGAATAGAAAAAGAAAGGAAATAAAAATAAAGTTCTCTTTTCCTTTTTTCTTACAAAATGTTTTCTGACAATATAAGTGAATGTTAAATAGTGCTAGAAAAATCCCTCTCTAGTTATTCACAAAATAAAGTATGTGATTTAACTGCTTAAGCAGAAGAAACTTTAAGAAATATGTAAAATATTAATATCAGTTAATTCTGAATGAAAACAGTACAAGTCTGAGTTATTCTAAAATTTTCTCCTATATGCTCTTTTATATTTTTAAATTTTAAAGACACCAGATTTTCTACAAAGCCAACTATATCTAAATTAAAGAAAAAAAGTTCAAAACACATCTTAAAATTGACCACAAATAAATAACCTATTTTCACATATCATTACCCTACTTAAGTATTTCAAATCTGAAGAAACACCAACCTAAAAATGCTCATAGAAGCATAAGCAGCCACTTCAACATAAGCCTCATCGATGAATACAGTCTTAAAGCAGGAGTATGGGTATCGACATGTAAGAATTTCTTCATAAAATTCAAAAACTTCATGAAGATATGATGTGGTATGTTTAAGCAATGGAAGAAGTTGGGGTAAACAAAAATGAGTAACCTGAAAATAAAAGCAAGGGAGAAGATCACTAAGTAAGTTAACTTTAATATTTTAAATTTCCTAAATATCTCAATTATAGATACATGTTCATATAGATCCTTTTTCTTGAATTCATGGTACTGAAAGAAAACGCTGGTGTGAAATTAGAAATTATTTTATTATATTTACAAAATATTTATTGTACTTAAAAATCAAATTGATGATGTATTTTAAGTCTGCAAAATGCTTAGACCCATTAAAAATAAAACTTTAGTTCCAAATTAAGTTAAAAATTATTCTGCCTATGCATACAAAACAAAAAATATTTGAATTTCCAAGACACACAGATCTACCATTGAGTCATAATTATCTAAACTAGTGAATACTGGACATGTCACAGTGCTATCTTAATTATGAATAGTCAATGTTAATCATACTATCTTTACTGCACACAGAGAAAAATTACGGTAGTATCCTCCTCTACTATGTCAACTACATATGGAAAGTTGCAGGAAGCTTACTGCTTGTTAGGAAATAAGAAATGCCTGCAATGGAGACAGTCATTCTGATTTTCTTACCATGCTATATCGCACCATGGATACAACACACAAATATCACATTCCATCTCAATGTCCCAGTTTATGATTCTGTGCCAGATGAATGGCATCAACAGTGACAGAGATCACTCTTACTAGAATGACCTGGCAAGGTTTCCAGCAGGAAATCAAATTTGAGTTAATCTTTTTGTATTGAACAAAGATTGATTGGTAAGGAGAGGAAAAGAGGACATCCCAAATAGTGTCAAAAATAGGAAGAAATAAGGTATGATCAGGAAAATCTAAGTAAACTATTTATATTGAACATAACAAACACAAACAGAAAAGTATATATTAGAAAAACGCTAGAAAAAATATTAGACTCAATTTTAGAAGATCTTGAAAGCCATGCTAATGAGTTCTGAATACTGTAGGACTGTAAAGGTAAGGAAAGTTTCAATGTCTGATAAAACTTATTCTTCTGACGGCATTATAAAAGAACAGATTAGAGACTACCATAATAGTGAGCGATGAATATCTATGTATTATTAATGGGCAGGGTCTAAACTGCATTATGATTAACACTCCTCTTGGGACACAAACAAAAAATAAAATACCACTCATCAAAAAAAGAAGTTACTTTCAGACAAACCTATATGATAGCAAATCTACTGATATTGGGGCAACAGTTAAAATTTTTTGAGATAGCCCTGGCTGGTGTGGCTCAGTTGGTTGAGCACTGTCCCATACACCAGACAGTAGCAGGTTTGATTCCTGATCAGGGCACATACCCAGGTTGCAGCTTCAATCCACGGTTGGAAGCAACTAACCAATATTTCTTTCTCTTTCTCCCTCTCTTCCTCTCTCTCTAAAAAAATATTTTAAAAAAATTAAAAATAAAAACTATTTAAGACAGAAAAAGACTAAGACATGAGCTCTAAGTATTCAGGAAAATTACTTGACTGTCATTTTCCTTTCTCTCATCCAATGGCTCAGCGTGGGAAAAAAATTCTTCCAAAACAAAGTAGGTACTAGTCAAATGTTGATTTTAAAGTTGATCATTTTCCAAGGATAATAAAATTCACTGCCAATCTTATCAGTAAGTACACTTAAGAGACACCGTCAAGATAGTTTTTAAAAACAAAAGTATTCACAAAATATCTTGAATATGTTCCATGAGTGACTTCAAAAATCTTGTGAATTTCAGGGAAGCAAACATAAGAGCAGACCAAGGAGCTCACTAATAGTCTAAACCTGGTTGCTCTCATTTTTGATCACATAACTCAAAGGAATGCTGTTGTGATACACATGGTCACAGGATAAGCTTTATATTAAAAATAACTAAAACTGAAAACATAAAGGAGGAACAGTAATTAAGAGATACATTTAAATGTTACTTTAAACATGTACAATAGCCAAGAGGGTCAATAACCAGTGAATTACTTCTCACAATACTTGGGGAGACCTAAAAGCACTATTTGATTTATTAATGACTGATAAATGATTTGTTGCAAGATACGAAATGGGAGAAAACTGGAAGAAGCCTTCATGAGATTGTTGACCAGAATTCTAACCAGACAGGTCTCAGTCTTTTCTCTTTTCCTCTGTATACTGAAGTGAGAACAAATCTTGCTGTTTCATTTTGAATCACAATTTTTCAGATTCAGAGATGAGACTATAACATAAACATATGCCATAGTAATGAACAGAATCAATTACAGAAATTAACTTGTATACTCTAATCAATGTATACTTCAAGACCTCTGTTGGAAAAAATCTGAAATTTTAATATGACATTTTGAAGGAATTCATTCAGGAGTTCATATCATTAAATACTTATCAGACAAGGAAACCTTTTCTCTCAAGTGATATTTTTGACAGTTAAAAGAAAAACTTAGTATTTCATTAATATTCTTTTTCTCAGGAAAGAAAGGAACAAGAAGCCATACCTCATGCATATATGGATCTACAAGTATTTCAAAAGGTCCAATGGCCAAGGAGATATTTGACGCAGCTGTTGGGATGGTAAGCATGTAATGGAAGGTCTTCTTCCTCATATCATGGGTATACACTGTCTCCACTAAATCTCCATTGGAAACAGCCACCATCGCAGCATCTACTGTAAATTCTAATTTCCATGTACATAATTCAGAGTATGAGTCAACACATGGGAACCAAAATCTAGAAAAAAAATGAACAGTATAAAAATTATGTTCAAAGTGGTAACCTCACTGCTTTCCCCACTTAATAACATTCATAGAAAAGCTACAAAAAGAAATTTTAGCTGTTTGACTACTGAAGATTTTACTATGAAACTTAAAAGAAAATTGATTAAAGTCAGAAACCTGTCTCCAAATATTATTTGGCAATATTAAGTAAATATATCTTATGGTACCATCAGTTCAAATTCTAAAAAGAGGTAAGCAATTCTTAGTTTGCAATTTTTAAATTAAAAATAAGTTTCACTTGTATATTCACACTAGTCAGTTTTGATGTAGTATTCATTTCCAGAAACCAAAAAATATATCTCATAAGTTAGAAAACTGCTTTTTTGGAGTATGTGATGCATTGTATAAATTCAAACAGCAATGGTAAAGCCATGCACAAATTTCTAGTTGACTTTCTATCATTTCAGATCAGGTTTTATTATGTGCCGGGGTGTGTACGTGGCACTGAAACACAAAAAAAATTTAAGGTATCATCCCTGGCTTGGAGGAGTTAATAATCTGTGGAGAAAATGCATACTATAAAGTAGTATTTCAATAACATGTACTGAACTATAGAACTATGAGAATGAACTGCAATTACACACAATGAAGCCAAATCTCACTATCATAATGTTCCACAAAAAAGCCAGATATAAAGAGCATAATGCATGTGCCTCCATGTATATAAAGTTCAAGAACAGGTGTAATTAATCTGTGATATTTTAGAAATCAGAACAGTGATTACCCTGGGGCAGGAGAGCATCAGGTAGGGAAGCAGTGAATTGGAGTGGGTGGGATGGGGACTCTGAGATGTTGGTCATGTTCTTTTTCTTGATGTGAGTGTGGATTAAATGGGTTTGCTCACTTGTGCAAATTTATTGAACTTTCTACATACAACTTGTATAATTTCCTTTTACTTCAATATAAAGTTAAAAAATAAAAGCACTGAGATAATTTTAAGACAGTAGACTTGCATCTGAGAAGACACAAGATTGAGGAGGAATGACTAATGGAGCAAGAAACAGGCAGAAGTTGGGGGGATCAACCTGGCATTTCTCATTTTACACTAAATACGTGTATTGCATTTACATAGAAAAAATACAACCGAAAATAAAATCAACTGAAATATATAAGAATATAATCTACCTTGTGGAATTCTGATACCCACAAGAGAAAACATGAGCACCTCTCTCTGCCATACTTCCCTCTACACTGGGTACCACAAAATGAAGACCTCCTTTTGGCTGATCCAAAGAAAAATTGATGTGTATCTTTAGGACCTTTAATTCTGCAACAAATAAATACACACATTCATTGATACATAAATATATAATTAGTGGTCTATGTAATAAGAGCAGACTTACACTGAAACATAAAATGGGAATCAAAGGCTCAGTTTTACATGAAAAAACACACTACTTAACCTAGTTCAGGCTTTCGCCATCTCTTCACCTAGGTTAACACAATAGCCTGCTTTCACGGGTGTCCTTGGCTCCACTGAATTCTAGGCACTGCTGTGTTCTCTGAAAATGTAGCTCTGGTTATGCCATATCCTCATGTCAACATTCCTGACAACACTACACGGCCTAAAGAAAAAAATTCAAAACTCCCACATTGGACACTTAAGTCCTTCTAGATTCAATGCAAAACTTACTTTTCAGGTCAAATATATGGTGACAGATTTGACTTTGGGTGGTGGGTACACAATGCAATTTAGATGATAGAGCATTGAATTGTACACTTGAAACCTATATACCTGTATTAACCAAAGTCAGCCTACTAAATTTTATTTTAAAAAAGGGCATAGAAGCCAAAAAAAAAAAAAAAAAAAATTGACCAAAAAAAAAGAAGTTTGCTGACTTTGGAGAGTAGATGAAGATGTGAAGGGTAGGGTAAATGGGAAAGCTTGCCCAATAATTTACATTATGCTTTACTGTCTTGTCTGACGTCTACAGAATGAATGTGTTGCTTTCATAATAAGGTTAAAAGTTGTTTCATTTAATTTCCCCAAAACATTGTAGCCATATGCACTAGGCTCAATCTCTGAACATACAATGATGACCTTCCATGTATGTCCCCTAAATTGGGCAAACCTAACGCCCCCAACAAAAACTATCAAAAATATGCAAAATCAAAACAAAATGTCTTTTATTTCCTTTTCACGATTAATTTTTATAAGGCCAAATAAAGGTAGGCAATGGTTATACATAATAATTATAACGGCTATAACTGTACTTGAGAAAATAAAAATTCAGAAATAAGACTATGCTAAAAACTATGCAGAGTAGATATTAGAAACCCTACGTCCTTGCCTTGACTCTACTACTAATTAATGACCTTCAGCAGGTCACTTACTCTTTTCGGACTTCAGATGACTCTTCTGTAAAAGGAAGAAATTAAACCAGATGATTTTTAGGATCCTTCCTGCTATAAAATACTATAAATCTAAACTGATTCAATATTCTGTGAATTCTCAAATCCTTTTTTTTTTTTTGGTATATGCTCCTAACGGCAACCAAACCCGGGACTCTCTGGTCCGCAGGCTGACGCTCCAACCGCTGAGCCAAACTGGCCAGGGCTGAATTCTCAAATCTTGACAAACTGTTCTATCCATCTAAATTTTTTTATAATTTTCACTTTAAAACAATAGTGAAATGAGATGATTTTTATCATAGCCCCTGATTGCTATTTTCTTGTTAGCCTGTGATCCTTTAAGGAAAAAAAAAGATTCCAACTTGTGTGTATTTCAATGTACAATTCTGACATCATTTTCACATAAAGGTTCTAGTCACTGAACCTAACATGATTGTACTGCAGTCAATATATTCTTGGTATTTTACCATCAACGTGTTTCCATAACTCTGATGGAACCTTAATGCAAAGTTCTCCATTTCCTGCATCAGGGTCCACAGCACTCACCGCAGCTGCATAAGCATTGGAAAAGTAGTTGAGATTTCTCCTGGGGGTAAAAAAAACAACAAAAAAAAACTTTAAGAATAAGCCATACATTTCACCAAACATTTTCTTAAATATTTGATGCCATTTTGTAAGCATTATATCATCTTACATAATTCATAAGCACGCTTTTTAGCCATGTAACTATTGTTCTACTCGTCAAAACAAAAACTACTGAAGTACAAATACAACAACACATACAGTCACTCACCAATGCTATGCGATTATTATGATTATATTATTTAATAATTTTGAAATTATTCCTGATACAAATGTAGAGAAATGTAAAATTTAAGAAATAATTATTCTTTATCAATCTGGCAAAAATTTGAATGAATTCAACAAGCTTTATAATCTGACAGATACTAAGATGATTAAAACATGAGGATGGGCCCTGGCCAGTTTGGCTCAGCGGTTAGAGCGTCGACCTGCGGTCCTGAGAGGCCCGGGTTCGGTTCCCGCTAAGGGCGCGTACCTCGGTTGCAGTTTGTCCCCGGCCCTGGTTGGTCGTGCGGGTGGCAGCCACTCGATGTGTCCCTTTCACATAGATGTTTCTCTCTCTCTCTCTCTCTCTCTCTCTGTTCCTGTCTCTCCCTCCCACTCTACCAGAACAAAAAAGGAAAAATGTCCTCGGGTGAGGATAAAATAAACAAACAAATAAAAAAAAACAACAACAAAAAAAAAACACGAGGATGGGAATCAATTCCTCAAAACGTAATACTGCTCCTCTTCACTCCCCAGTGCATGACAATATAAACTTAATGAAGGAGGGAAACATTTGGCTGGCTCATTGCTACATCTCTTATATGTTAGGGGGTACTTGATACATTTATTTGTTCAATAGTGACTTGGCATGATCTCCCATTGGATGAAAACAATACACAGAAGTCTTGTGGAAATATGAAAACATTGTTCTCATCTGATTTTCTAATTTTATTCCATAAAAACAACTTACATGTACACATATTACATTTCCTCACTAAAATCAGTTAAAGGAATAAAGAAGAAATAGAAAAAAGAAGGGATAGCAAGAACAAGAAAACAAGATGAAAGACACAACGCCATGAGCCATCTTCTCGTGTACACCTTTATGTCTATCATCTTGCCATCAGATGAATGCACAGGTAAAGTTAGTGACATTTCACTAGCTTAATACATTTTTGACCTAGTTAAAAAGACAAGTGTCATATACTTTACAGAGTGATTAAAGAAAACATTCAGTTACACACTCTGACTTGACAGAGTCCATTCCTCTTCCACAGCCACCTCTATTAACTAGGAAGGATGTATGTAGTATTAACTATGGCTTTTAACAATTACATAACATAAGGCTCTAGAAGTAACTGAACAGACAGCTCAATAATTTTAACAAATTTATTTCTGTTATATAATATGTAAAATAAAAGGTGTAAAAACTCCAGGACCACAATAAAAACTCTGTTTTCACATACCATCTATTTTTAAAATTATCATACAGTTAAAGTAACTTTTATTTTATATATAATTCTATAAGTTTTAACTTGTGTATAACTACCAGCACAATCAGGATAGAGAACAGTTCCATCATCCCAAAAAGTCTCTTGTGCTATACACCTTGTGTCAAATAAAAGAAACAACAGAATGCAACTAACCCCTTGAGGCTGGCTTGTCTTACTCATTATGTCTCTGAAATTCATGAAAAGTGTTACATGTATCAACAGTGTGTTGCTTTTTATATTGAATAGTATGCCACTGTATAGACTATACTACAGATTCTTTATGCATTCACCCACAGAAGGACATCTGGGTTGTTTCCAGCTTGCAGCCATCACAAATAAAGCTGCTATGAACAACTGTGCATCAGTTTCTTTTCCTTCCTTTTCATGGTTAATTTTTATAAGGCCAAATAAAGGTAGGCAATGGTTATATAATTTATATTTCTGTAGTACATATACCCAGGAATGGGGCTCCAGAGACACGTGGTAAATATACATGGAGCTTTGTAAGAACCCACCAGCAGGAATCCTGTGTTCCTTCCCACCAGCAGATATGAACGTGCCAGTTGCTCCTCCTCATCCTTGCCAGCACTTAGTTAATGTAACATCAAAATTTAAAGACTATTTAGTATATCTATAGATTATAATTTATTTTCAATAACATTTCAAAAACATGAAATCTAAAAGATAGTTGAAGAACTTATAGAGGATATTATCTGTGAAATTTAAAAATAAAAAATAATTGTTACATAAAATGCCAAATTTAAACATTACATATTTGGCTGCTCACTTTCTTTATGGAAAATTATTCTCTTAGTGTCCTTATTTCCTGAGAAAAGTTAAAGTGGTCCAAATAAAATGATGAGTCATTAGAAATGAAATCTATTAGAAAGTCAGTTATGAGGAACAATTTTCTCATGGTTTAGATTTCAGTGTTTGTTTTCATAACAAGAATCAAATGTTTCCTTTCATAATAATCTCATAAAAGCCAAAAATTACAGGCAAGATTATAATAAATGTTTTCAATTTTCAGAATAATGATGACTACAAAATATTAATGCGCCCTTGCCCTGTAACCACCACCACTCCAACTCCCAGTTCTCCTCAAGGAAACAAAGCTGAAAGACGAGGAATTTCTGTAGGGGATATTGAAAAATTGGAAAATTAAAGTGATCAAAAGAATTTTCTCTAAGAACCTATTATAATCACCCACATTAAATGAAAATAATCTGTTAATGCTTTGTCAAATAAAAAACATGTGCTTCTTAAAACTATAGGTACAGCCCTGGACAGTTCGGCTCAGCAGTTAGAGCGTCGACCTGCGGTCCTGAGAGGCCCGGGTTCGGTTCCCGCTAAGGGCGCGTACCTCGGTTGCAGTTTGTCCCCGGCCCTGGTTGGTCGTGCGGGTGGCAGTCACTTGATGTGTCCCTTTCACATCGATGTTTCTCTCTCTCTCTCTCTCTCTCTCTCTCTGTTCCTGTCTCTCCCTCCCACTCTATCTGAACAAAAAATGGAAAAATGTCCTCAGGTGAGAATAAAAAAATTAAAAATAAATAAATAAATAATAAAATAAAATATAGCAAGCTCTCCAGAGCTGGAAACATTCAAATAGAAGGTGGAAGAGTATAGCTCAACCATTGTGGTTCAGTGGTTAAGCATCAACCCATGTACCAAGAGGTCGCCGGTTGGATTTCCAGTCAGGGCACATGCCTAGGTTGTGGGCCAAATCCCCAGTGGGAGGCATGCAGGAGGCAGCCAATCGATGTTCTGTCTCATCAATGTTTCTCTCTCTCTCCCCCTCTCCCTTTCTCTCTCTCTAAAATCAATAAAGAAAAAACAAATTTTAAAAAAAGGTAGAAGAGTATAGCGAAAATTCCTATTGAAGTTTTGACTAATGTTACAACTGTGACAACTTAATTCCAAGCAATATTATTACAATAAATGGCACTGAGGCATTGTGGCTGAGTTAAAATATAAAACGATCCTTATTACTTAACCATAATCAATAAGTGAATCAACCACTTCTACTATACAACATTAGTAAAATAATAACATTTAAAACCCCTACATCGAGATCTGTATTAAAATATAGTACCTAGAAAATCTTTTTTAAAATATAGCAAGTTTAAAAAAATCAACTCAAATCATTTTCAAAATCACCATAATCACTAAATAGCTACTTCATTTATATCTTAAGGTAGCTTCATTTCTACTGCCACTCCTTAATGGAAATAAAGACAGAAGGTAAGAATTAAACTGATTCTTGGAACTTTGGAAAGTTGAGATTTTTCAAGCAAAATAAAAAAAATTTACTAAGTGACCATGGCTAACTGAGCTCTGGTTCTGGCTGAAAAGAAAATTTAAAACACTGTCTTCCCCAAATTTCTTACCTTGGAAAAGAGTCTTCCTTTTCTTTACTTATAACAGTACATATAATGAGGTATCCTCCCTATCACTAGAGAAAAATTTTAAGGGATATCAACACCTCACAAATAATCATAGTAAAGTAAAACTTGCTTCCTCCAGATTTGGAGCCCACTGTTCTTGTCATTGCACTGTCAGATTATCTTTCTTGCGACCTGACTGGCAGATGGAGAGGCTTCTCACCCTGTCATCATATTCAGAGGTCTAGGCTCGACAGGGTAGCATCTTGGCCTCCTGGCAAGGCAATGGCTCCCCCACCTGCCCTTTCACAGGTGCCTTTTCCACTTGTCAGTTTCCACATATAGTTACTAACCCAAAGGCAGATGATTTTTTTCTGGGGAAAAGAGGATGCAGATGATTTTGTAATAAGTCCTTTTATGTCAGTTCTACAAGTATGGCTATAAAAGCAATGAAATTTCAACAACTGATCACCTTTGTGAAATTGTACAGGAGCAATTCAGAGATCCCTGAATTTTCCCAGTACCATTTTCTCTTCTCTTCTCTGAGTTTGTAAGATTCTAAACTAGTAATTACTGGGATCATAAATATCTAAAGCTTCTTTCTCAACCCTCCCTCACTTAAGATAGTGGTCCTCAAGCTTTACCTTGTATGAGAATCACCTGACAGGCTAGTTAAAACACAAACTGTAGGACCCTACCCCTGGTTTTTCAGTCAGGAGGTCTAAGGTAATGCTGGGGAATTTATATTACTGACAGTTCCCAGGTGATGCTGATGCTGCTTGTCTGGGAATCATACTTTGAGAACTACTGCCTTCAGGCACTATTACACATGTAGATTAGTATCTTGACTAAAAAGAGTGTATAATTAAAAAAAAAGATTTTAGAGTTTGGGACATTCTACCCCAAACCACTAAGAATCATAGAAATGATATAATCAAATTCTATAAAAGTTTGGAAAAAACAAGTGCTTTCAAATGCAGCTGCCAGTATTTGAAACAGTATAAATCTTCCTGGGACACAATCAAGTAGAATACTAAGAGCCTTAACAATGATAAGTAATCCTATTCTACTAAGAAAATAATTCGAAGGCAATAAAACCTAATCTGTTCCAAAATACTTACTCAATACTACTTATGATCACAAAAGCTGGAAATTGTACAAATGCCAAATAACCAGAAAATAATCATTCAAACTACAGTATACTAAGTGAAATATTACCTGACCATAAAAAGAATTAAAGAAGCCTATCAAATTATAAATGGAAAAGTGAAAAAGTATTTAAATAAAAAAAGCAGAACTTAAAACTGATCACAACATATGTTTACTGATGAAAATTAGAAGTAGCCTCAATACATGCAATCTTTACTTAAGGTGAAGGAATGAGATATTTCAGACACAATATTTTATATGATATTTATATTTTATATTCTAAAGTAGTTAAAATACATTACAGAATATTCTAAAGTAGTCTCTGCTCTATAGACAATAACCATCTAATTTATTAAAAATTACATTTAAGCTCAGCCTGTGTGGTTCAGTAGTTGAGCATTGACCTATGCACCAAGAGGTTGCCGATTGATTCCTAGTCAGGGCACATGCCCAGGTTGTGGGCCAAACCCCCAGTAGGGGGCGTACTAGGGGTACCCAATCAATGTTCTCTCCGATCAATGTTTTTTTCTCTCTCGCAAATCAATAAATAAGTAAAATAGTTTTTATTTTATTTATTTATTTTTATTTATTTTTCTTCCTTTATTGATTTTACAGAGAGAAGAAGGGAGAGGGAGAGAGAGATAGAAACATTGATGAGAGAGAACATTGATTGGCCGCCTCCAGCATGCCCCCTACCGGGGATCAGGCCCATAATCTGGGCATGTGTCCTGACCAGGAATCGAACTGGCGACCTCTTGGTGCATGGGTCAATGCTCAACCACTGAGCCACACCGGCTGGACTAAGTAAAAAAGTTTTTAAAATAAAAATTATATTTAATATTTATAAAGTAAATATTTTTCAAAATATCAAAAGTAAAAAAAGGTTAAGAAAACTTATTTAAAATTCTCTAATAATACTTCTTTAAAACTAGGCTAAAGAAGGAAAACTTAATAACTTACTATGTTGGGCAGAGGTAGTAAAATTTCTTCAGCCAAATGTACGGAGTGGTGAAAGCAACAGAACTTAGAATGAGAAAAAAATAACAAAAAACACCTGGAAACCAGAGTCTAATAATAATCTTGAAAAAATTAGGCAAATGATATGAAAAAAATGACTGTTAGAAATATCAACTTTTACAGTGTACAACTTACTGCTTTGATTCATTGTGACAAACTTCCAAGGTTGGATCATTATAAATAAAAGCCGCTTCTAAATCGTTGATCCTTACTCGGTATATTCTACACTGTTTGCTGTTCAACTTGATTCTATTCAAGTTTGCAACTGTGGGAAATATAGTCAGTTCCACAAATCCCTGTAAAGATAAAGAATAGTAACTTCATTATAATTAGGATTGGTATGTTTTACAATTTATTTCTTTCATTTCTAATACACATAGTACACTCCAGAAACAGAATCTCAAACAGTTACATACATACAAGTGCTCTCCAAATATCTCCATTTCAAATATGGTTGTCCTAGTGACTGAGCTGGCTGTGAATTATGTACGCTTTATCATTCTGGTGGCTCACATTCACTATCAGTAAAAATTATACCATCTTCTAGAAAAATAGTAAAAGGATTCACTATTCTTTAATATAATAATTTCTAAATAGACTGGGACCTAAACAAGGAGGAAGGAAAAGAAAATGACAGAGCAGGAGGAGAATCAAAACCAGGTTGGTGAGTGAAAGAACATGGCCCCCAAAATAGGGCAAAACAACTACATCCGTGAAGCTAACAAGTATGAGTCTCTGCTCACGGAAGGTGTATCAGGACATGTAAAGAGACAAGAGCTACAAGAGGTACTCAGACAAGTAGGGAATATCTACTGCTGCCTGTTAGAGCAACAGACACTTCAAAATGTTGGATGACTGCCAACCACGTAGACCAGAGACCATCCACATGTAGTTTTACCATGTTATCTGTGTAGTGAGCAGTCTATCTCAAAAATGTACCTAAGACGTGAAAGACAGCTAAACACACTAACCACCACCTTCTTGTGTTGAATTAAATGGGAAAGACAGACCAATGAAACATGGACTATCTATCCAATGGGTTAAATATCCTGGGTTGAGCCCTGGCCGGTTTGGCTCAGCGGTTAGAGTGTCAGCCTGCAGTCCAAAGAAACCCGGGTTAGGTTCCCGCTAAAGGCATGTACCTCGGTTGCAGTTTGTCCCCGGCCCTGGTTGGGTCATGTGGGTGGCAGCCACTTGATGTGTCCCTTTCACATGGATGTTTCTCTCTCTCTCTCTCTTCCTGTCTCCCTCCCGCCCTGTCTGAACAAAAAAATGGAAAAATATCCTTGGGTGAGGATAAAAAAAAAGAAAAAAATATATCCTGGGTTGAACACTGATGTTCTCAAACACGTAATAGGGAAGGGCATGAAATAGTAACATTTCAGGGGATGCAAAGTGAACAGAAAAATCCCAGAGGCTGCAACAGGAGTATCTAAGATAAAATGCAGGCAATAAACAAAGAAGACTAGATTATAACAATTATAATGGCTACTGTTTAATGAGCACAGCTATATGCCAGATACTACATACTTTCATATGTTCTCTCTAATCCCAATAACAACTTTAAAAGATAAGTACTGTTATACTTTTTTTACACAAATTAACATAATTAAATTATATTATTGAAAAATTGAGATTCAAATCCACTTCGAAATGAAGCCAATTGATTTCCACCCACTATGGCATGTCTCTCGGTACAAGGCTTTTAAAAAATATGAAGAATTTTTAGATAAGATTCAATCCAACTACTCAAAAGCCTAGAGATCCCGTAGCTTTTCTCCCCACCCATTCCCAAATTAGAAAAGAGCCATACAACCTTAAATTAGACCATCTGGACAGATTGATGTGGAAACAAGAGAGAACAGAAACAGCAAATGCAAAAATACTGTTGATGAAGTCTCTATGTTCAAATGTGTAAACTGTGAGCAACTGTAGGGAGGAAGACCAAATTCTCCTAATTAGCGTATCAGTAATGCAATGACCAATCTACACAAATGAGTTTGGATCAGCTGAAAGACAGCAAGCAGAACCAAGATAATGTCAACAGTAAACCAGAAAAGATTACGGAAAGTGATGTCAACAGCTACATGGATGGGAAATAGGAACAGGATTTGGCTTGCTAAACTAAGGTTTATAACAGTACAATAGTGAATGGAGTGCATTTCATGAAGATAAGGAAAGCCTGGTCTCCTTGAATCATCAGGTCTCTGACACCACCTAGAGCCCTAACATATACTTGCCTGCAACATTCAGACCCATTGATCAGCCTCCAATCCCTGGCATCCTTGGCAGCTGGTGTAACTGTAACCCCCTCAGGTCATCTAACATCTCACTCACTCTCATCTCCTTCTTGCTCCTGGCTCTCTCTCCACCTCACAGCTGACCATCCTCCTAAAGTCCCTACCCTACTTTAAGTAACCACACCTGTTGCCATTCAACCTTTTCAAAAACTCCTTCTCTACCTTCTAGCCTTAGATGAAACAGCTCTTGAATGCCCCTTGACAAGAAACTACTTATTCTTTCATTCACTACAAATGAGTGGAGGGGAAACCTCCTAGTTTCCACTGCTACTCCTAGACCATTTATACTTTACATAGCATATAGAAAACGAGCAAGGGAAGTGCCATCATTAAATTAAATGCACATGTTCTAGAGATAGACTGCCTGCATTCAAATCCCAGCTTCACCATTCAGTAAGTGTATGATCTTGGGCTAAGTTACTCTAGCTCTCTTTGCCTCAGTTTCTTATCTGAATAACAAGAATAATGACATTTTCTACTTTTTGGTGTCATGACAATTGAGCAATTTAATAGCTGGCATCTAATATATACCTAATAAATGTTTTTATTATTCTTTTCTACTTCTTTCCCTTTGTGTTTATGCCATCTAGGTATACCATCCTCTACTCTTCACTATTATCTCCCAAATTCCCCAACATTCACTGAAGGCTCAGACTCCCTTTCAAACCCATCTCTGCCATCACCTAAGTTACATGACTGTAGATCTATCGAATCCATGCAGTGACACAGCTTCAAAATTCCTTGGCTTCAATTCCTATGATCTTCACTTTCACTCCAGGACAACCATCAAGATCACACTCTCAAAGACACCTACCTCACCGCTGCTCAGAATTGCTCTGATGCTGACATTTTAAACCTGAACATCTACAATTTCTATCCCTTTGCCCTTCTTATTACTTCTCTTCCAGTCCTCCTGTTCAACCACATGAAATTCTCCTGTTCCTTGACCTCCTCCAGTTTCTCACTACAATTCTTCCTGGCACTCTTAGGGCTACTCTCTTCTCCGTTCTCTAAGATCCTTAACCACTCTTCTGCCAACTATCGATTCTCTTCCTCACCGTTACGTATACCTATCTTTCCCTCTCGTTTAAAATGGTCCTTCCACTAGTTCACTAGAGGGCATCCCATCCTCTGAATTATCCTCAGAAATCCTGCTCTATTAATTGCCCTCTCCTATAATTACAATTTCTCTTCTCTATAAAAAATGTCCCATGCCCACAAACATGTTCATGTCTTACACATCTTACTTTTAAAATCTTGAAATCTATGTCACCCTCAAATGAATTAATCTTTGCCCTTTTCCCAGCGTTATCATATTTTGTTTCTGAACTGACACTAATCCCTAAACTCCCAAAACATTACCATACTCCAGTAGTCAGACTGAAAGTCTTTGGAGGTCAAGTACTCAAGGAGGGCATGGCCCAAGTCTATCACAGAGGAGGACTAGTGCTATTTCCCCAGACCTAGAACATATAGCATACACTTTAGTAATGGGTAAATCCTCATATTAATTCTGACCAAGAAGTGAGGATTATTATAAGACTAAAAACACCACTGGACAACCCATTTCATTCCCTAAGACAGTAAATCAAAGCAACTAGACATGGCTGGGGAACTGCAAAGATTAGTGCCACCAGAGATTTGAAAGATGCCTACTACATCTTCCTTTAAGTCAATTATTTGGCCAGTGCAAAAGTCAAGTGGGCTTTGGAGAATGATGGTGAAGAAGTATCACAAACTCATCGATCACAGGCATGTTTGCAGGTGTAGAATTTTTACTACAGGTAATCAGCACAGCTCTTGGTTACTAGTGTTACAGCTAATTATAAAGCAAATGCTTCCCCATTCCCTCAAATCTTACCAGAAGAAAAAATCAGAAGCAGATTGCCTCCAAGACAGAAGAGGCCCTTCACTGTCATTTAACAACGAATGCCAACTCTCCTGCTCAAATACAGTCCAAAAGTCCCTTAATTATAGAACAGCGCATAGAAAATTATACTGATATATTAACATTATACTAACTGGACCTGGTGAGAAAGGAATAACAAATTCTCTAAATGCCTTAAACACACACACATACACACGAAACCACACACAGATGGCAGAGGATAAGTTAAGTCATATGAAAGTTCGGGGCCTGTCACATTAATAAACCTTCTAAAGTTCCACTGGTCTATAAACATGAACCTTCTAAAGTGAAAGATAAGTTGCTTCATCTTGCACCACCCACCAAGTGGGGGAAAAAAAGAGGCATGAAACTTGGTGGGCTTCTTTAGATTCTGGAGGCAATATATATACTTAGGCATACTGCTTACTAGGCAATAAAGCGTAGAGAGAGGTCCAAGGTAAGAAAGGGTTCAAGCAGGCTATGGTTCAAGCTGCCCTGCCACTTGAGCCTTATGACTCAGCATACCCAACAATATGGAAATGTCCATGCCAGAGAGAGATGCTTTACAGACTCCGGCTTCCTCTAATGGAATGATGGTGCACATTCCCAGTATGGCCATGACCTCTTCTGCCAACAGCTCTTTTCCATTTGCAAAGCAACTACTGGTTTGCTACTAGACCCTGCAGCACAGACTGAACACATGACCACGGGACTCCCATGTGACCTGAAATGGCCATCATGAACTGAGTGTAATATGAAGCTCTGAAGAATAAAACTGGACATGTGCAGCAGCTTTCCACTTTTAAATAGAAACAGCACATCTGGACTAGGCCAAGCAGGTTCACAAGGCACAAGCAAACAGCATGAACAGGTGACTCAGAATGCAATGGACTGGCTCCCATTGCTTTTCCCTCTCTCCCTCAGTCCAGACACCTATGGCCTCATGGAGAGTTCCTCACGCTCAGTTAACAGAATAGGACACAAGCCAAGAAGGATGAATAATTCTTCACAGAATGCTAGCACCACTAAAGTGTGACCCTGAAAGACAACGCAAGAAAATCCTACAGTGGGCAGAACACTGGAAAATATATCTGGTTGTACATTCTTTGTAGCAGCAGAGATGACCTGAAAGTACACATCTATACCAATCCATGGGCAGTTAGATGCTCACAGGTTGGCCAGCTGGTTAGGGACTTGTAAAGAACATGATTAACACACTAAAAATTAGACAACGATGGAAGAAGTAAGTATAAGCACAGATTTCTTAGACTAGGTATAATATGAAACTATTCATGTTGTTCCCACATAAATGACCATCAGAAGGCAGCCACTGCAGATGAAGCCCTCGAAAATCAAGTGGCAAGATTATCTATCCAGTAGATGTCACAGAGACTTTCCCTGCCCACCTTGCTCAATATACAAAGTGGTCATGTGGCAAGAATGGAGGTTCTGCATGAATCCAACAACACAGTCTCCCCTGTTTCCCAAGGCTAATCTAACTACCACCACTGCTTAGTGCCACCTCTCAATAGAAGATCATAGTAAATTTCTAATATGGGACCTTTCCAGAAAGGATCAGTCACTTAGTACAAAAATAACTACATTATAGAGTATGTATCATAAAGGGGTGACAGTGATTTGTCCTTATAAGAAGGGACAAGTATTCTACATTTTCCTTCCCTAACTACAATATACAGCTGACCCTTAAACAACTCAGGGGTTAGTTAGGGACACCAACCATAGATAGTCGAAAATCCATGTATCACTTAAGTCAGCCCTCTGCATCTGCAGATTTCCAACTGCAGATGGAAAATACAGTTGATGCCTGAACAACATGCCAGTCCACTTATACACAGAAATCCACATATAAGTGGGCACGCACAGTTTAAGCTTGTGTTGCAATATCCCACACATGCCTCCAATCAAGTGTATGGGGAAGAATGGCAATGGGCTCTAAAAACACACAAACCTTACTGGTTTTATGCTGTGCCCTACCATCCAGAAGCAGCTGGCATGATCAATTACTAAAGACTCAGTTACAGCACCTATTGAGATCTCTAACAGGATGCTGTCTTAAACTAGTGGATGATATACAGGGTCACTTCTCCACAGAGCTGGGAACCAAGGGGTAAACGTGAGAGTGACTATTTTCACCATTGCACCAAAAAACCCACTGAAAGAATTTTGCTTCCTATCTTTGTAACCCTGGCCTCCACATGTTCAGAGGTCCTAATGGTCAAGGGAGAAATGCATCCGCCAGGGCACAGTCATGGTTCCACTAAACTGGACTGTCCCTTGACCACTTTGGGCTCCTTCTACCACTGAACCAACAGGCAGAGAAAGAGATCACTGTACTGGCTGGAATGACTAATCCCAATTAAAAAACAGGAATTGAGGTTCTGCTATCCTATAGGACAAGAATTACATGTGGAATCCAGAACATTCATTGGAATGCCTCTTAGCTTTCACCTGACCAACAGTCTTACTCAATGGAAAACTGCAACAACTCAAAGACAAAACAAGCAAGGATACAGATCCTGCAGGAATGAAGGTTTAGGTCAGACCAAAAGAAATGCTGGCAAAAGGAAAGGGGATAATGGAATGGGTGAAGGAATAAGGAAACCGTGTATATCAACTTTGGCCTTGACACCAACTGAAGAAAGCAGGAGCTGTAGCAATTAAGCTTCACATTCTTTTAGCCTGTTCTCTTTCCACTATATAGTATGAAAGACACTGGTGGTAGCTAATGTTTTAGGTGGGAATAGTACTGAATCAACATTTTCTCACACTATTACATTAGTTTATGGATCAGCCAACTTTTTCTTCAAGGGCCAGATAGTAAATTAGACTTTATAGGTCACACAATTTCAGTCATAGCTACTCAACTCTGCCATTTTGGCTCCAAACCATAGACAATATATAGATATTGTGTTCAAACATTTATCTGGGTATGGCTGTGTTCAAAGAAAACTTTACTTACAAAATCAGGTCATTTGGCTATTGCCAACCTCTACAATAGCTGATCAGATTTTTTAAGTTCCCTGTGTTGGGAAACGAGCTTTTCACCTCAACAAAGGACAGGATAGGACACTTCAGGGCAAAGGGGACAAACTGTTCTATTCTCCTAATCCGCTTTCCACCCTACTCTGTACCCCAGGAGTTGCACTGACTGGGCATCAGACCTCTGGCTTCTGGTTGAGTTGGTTAATGGGAGGCATGGGTGGAAACTGAAGGGAAGAAAGAAAGAGCTCATTATATTTATTCCCCCAGGTTCCTTTATGCCAGGGTGAGGAAGGTAGTGGCTTCACTCTCCTATCAAAGGCCATTGCTCCTCTAAGAGTTACATTGCTCCTCTTTCCTATAGTTGCCGAAGGTTCTAGTAACCTCTCCCTTCCTTTGTTCTTTCAGGTTTAGTAGTAGCAACGTTCCTCAATGCTAACCTAACATGCTCCTCCATCTCTTTATTCTCTTAACCCTGTTTGTTCTCAATGAAGTAGTCCTTTCATTAGTTCCCCTCAATTAACCTGAATGAATGTGCCATGTTTCCTTCTGGGACCCTAACCCATACACCATCATAGCGATATTGCCAGTAGAAAACCTAAAGTCATCCACAACTCCTTTTTGGCATTCCTAATTAGAGTCATCTGCAATCCCTTATGCCTATCATTTTGCCAGCAGTAGAGGAGGTAGACAAGGAAAACAATAACCAGATAAGAATAGATGACTCTCAGGTCATCCTTGATAAAAAAAAAAAAGGCTTAATTATGCCCTGGCCAGTATGGCTCAGTTGGTTGGAGCATCATCCCATACACCAAAAGGTTGCAGGTTCAATCCCCAGTTGGGGCATATGCCAGAGGCAATCGATTAATGTTACTCTCTCTCCCTAAAATCAATTTTTGATAAAAGGCTCAATCACTTGCTAACTTCATGCCCTTAAGAAAATTCCTTAGCCCCCATTCTTTCAGCTGGTTTATTGATAAAAATTAAAATAGTATCTACCTCATGGGGTTATTGTGAAGATTAAGTGAAGCAGTAGATACACATAAAGCCCTAGAAAACAGTCTTACATGTACTTAATAAATGTTCACAATAATTCAGTCAAATATAACAACTCTCTTTCTTTCTTTTTTTTAATCTTCACCAGAGGATATTTTTCCCATCTATCTTCAAATAGGGTAGAAGGGAGGAAGGGAGAGAGAAACATTGATGTGAGAGAGTCACATTGATTGACTGCCTCCCGCACGACCTCAACCAGGGCCGGGGACTGAACTGCAACTGATGTACGTGCTCTTAATCAGAATCAGACCCTTGACTCTTCGGTCTGAGGGCTGTCGATGTAACTGATGAGCCAAACTAGCCAGGGCTCAACTCTATTTCTATGCCATTTTACTTTTATCTTTATTCAGGGCTTCATCAATTCTCCCCTAGTTTATCATGGTAACATCTTAACTAGACACCCTAATTCCTGCGTCTTCTCTACCCAATTCACAAAACACAACCCATCTATAGTATCCATATCCTTCCATGAGTCACAAGGTAAAGAATCATATGCAAGGAATCTTGAAAAACAAATTCCTTAAATGAGGAAATTGAACTTAATGAATCTTTAAGGATCCTTATAAATCTAAGATTCTGTGATTCTTATGAACATATTACATTTTAAAATCTATATAGCTCATCATAAGTAAGTTGGAGAGGAAAGTTCATGCCATAACTCAAAGAAAATCGGCTCTCACTAAGATTTGGTCTATTTAATACAGATTCCTCTGAAAAAGTAAATTAAATACTTGGGTTGTCAAGGACTTTTCTAGAATGGAAACATATCTGCAATCTACACATCTAAAGTGGGGGGGGCGCTTAGGAGGGAGTGTTACTAGATTTCAAACACCTCATCTAAAATTTCATTAACCACCAATGTCACATAAACCAGGTCAGCCAATAATCAGAAAACTAAACTGGCCTCTTGGCAGCCAAGTTAAGCCAGTGTGCGCTCTAATCTTAACTTTGTCAAGAAGAAATCTCACTATGGATTTGTTCTTCTTTAATGCACAATTCTAAAATGTATGGTAATACAGATTTTCATATTCCACAACAGATTAAAAGGAATAAGATTTTAATCCAGGAAACAGGAAAAAAAAGAAGGGAAAGGAGAATTGAGGAGTCACCCAGATCTGAATGCTCATTCTGACCTATTCTTGAAACAATTATCTGGAAGGGCAAGTTTCTAAGTACTGTATTGTAAAGGGTGGATTTGTACTGCTTATAATTGTTCACAATATACTTACCACAACAGACTTTCTCTGGAAGTTTATGTTGTTGATGCAGACGACCTGATGGGTTGTATATTAAAAAATAAATACATAAGTAAAATAAAGAAAATATTTCTATTATTACGTGAAGCATAATTCTACCCAAATGTATGCAAAGCCTACGTTCTAAGCAGCTCAAAAATCACTTTGTCTTTCATTTTAAAAGCTTACCAATCTGGGTAACTTGTTTGTTTTGAATTTAACAACAGTCACAAAAATAAATGTCTTTGGACAAACAGAGCTTAGTGCTTTAAGAAAAAAGGTTTATTAACCTGCAAGGGGCAATAAATCTGTTGAATTACACGGCCGGGCAAAGTATTTTCGCCCCACAAGCACCATTTCCGTCACAGTGAGTGGGCTCCAGTTTCCCACTAGGTTTCCCAGCCAAGTCAGTTTTAAGCAAAGACAAAATAGCATTAATGAAAACAAAACCTAGAAGAGGAAAGGGAGATGAAAAGAATACTTATAATTTATATGGTCTTGGACTTTCAAAGCCTTTGTCTCCTTTCTTCCTGTTCATTCTGGCGGGCTCTAAGCCAGTCGGCGGCATGAAGGACGGATCCCGCGGGGCTCGGCTTCCCGGCTTCCCCGAGGGCGGCGGGGCATCACCGGGTTCCGGCTCCTCGCTTCCCCGCGCGCCCAACAGCCACGCGCGCGGCCGCGGCTCCCGACGCCGCCCCCCACTCCCTCCAGCCGCCCTCGCGAGCTCCGCTCTCGGAGATCTCCCTCCTGCCACCGCTCAAAATCGCCGACCGTCCACAGCTCGCTCGTCACCTCTGACCTCCGCCGTCAGCGGAAGTGCGACGGCCCGGAGAACCGGAAGTTTGAGCCAGGGGGCGGGGCTTGCGCGGTACTGTCTAGACCTCTGGTGTTTGACGTTGTGTATAGTGGGAGAGAACTGCTGAAGTTCAGGGAAGCGAACACGGATATTTACAGGGTGAGTTAAGAGCAGACCGGAAGGTAGGAACGTTTACGTTTCAGAGGAATGACAGTCCAGCGCAAGCACGTGGAGAAGTGTGGGGCTGATTTGCGATGAGCCAGGGGCTGGGAACTAGTAACTGGGGAGTCTCTGAAACCAGCTGGGTAGTGTCCTTGGAGATTTACGTTGTAAAACATGTAATCAGACCCCAGATACTCTGACTCAAACTCCAGAGCCCTCACTTTTTATTTTTAAAAACTACTGTCTCAGCGTTTATCATTTTTTTAAAATGAAGCAAATAACCCACATAGATGCAGAAATATTTGTTGAAAGATGAGAAGATGATTTTGAAGCCATAATATCTGCATTTCATGTGCAGGAGAATAAAAACTTTGTAAATTTCAGTAAGTTAACTCTTAGTTAATTGTGGATTACCCGTTAACATTATTTTTAATCTTGGACCAGATTTAACTTTGGCCTACCCCCTCCATCTGTCCCATGATAAGTTCATTAGCTAAGTTAAGATTAATTTTAACTTTGGTCTCAAGGAAAACAGATTAGGAAAGTAAAGCTATGAAAAAAATATCAATCATTCCAATACCAACTAGATATTGTAGTTTTCTAGTATTACCTGTGTCCTTTTCTCCATCATAGGATTGTTGGCAGTGGGTGAGAACAGCACCATGTTAAGACCACTGGGGTAAGACCAGACCTGAGTTCGGCAACATCGCTACTTGAGTTCTGGCTAGGCAAGAGTTCAAAGCCAAGACTCAGACTATAAGAGAACATTTATTTAGAGCATCACAGAGGTAGAAGTAATTCATAGAAGAAATGGGCTAAGGAAACAAGATATGGAGGCAAAGGAAGGGCCCTTGGAGCTTAGAAGGGAGGAAGGTAAAAGTGAAGCACCTGAGGGAAAGCGCAGTGAAAAGGCTTGGATGGGCATGCTCCGAGGAGAGCTAGCGAGCTGGGTCCTCCCTCCTAAGGGTTTTAAGGGTGGAGATTTCAGGGGAGGTCCCAGGGAAAGATCTCAATAGAATATTCATCAGCTTTCCAGGTGTGTCCTTTTGGGGTCAGGATCTGCACTGATTGATTGGTTGGTGCTATGGCAGGGGGTCATTATTCAATACAGCTGGTTCTGAGGTGGCATCCTTGTCTGGTTGTGCTGTTTTTCTGGGCCTGGAGCTGAAATACAACTGAGGCCTAGATGTTATCTCTAGGAGGGAAGGAAAGGTCAGGGGGTCCAAACCACATGACCAGCAATTTGCTAGGGGAGGAAGGGTAACCCTACAGTTGTCCATTGCCAGGGACCTAGGGATTTCCACCCTGGTGACCTTCTCCTTGCTCTGCTCATATCTGTCTAACTGCCTACCACAGGATTATAAACTGCTCTATTAGTATCCTTCACATAGAATTAAGGATCAAATCCATTTCATCCCATTTCAACCAGGCAAATGGAGGAGCAATTATCAAGACAATTTCATTAGGGAAAATGACTAATGTAGACAACTGATAGCATGTAGTGACTTCCTGTTTTGGTGGAAGGATGAAACTGGATGGAAACCAACTTGCCTGAGAAATGACGTTTAAGTGCATAAATAATTCTCTTGGCTATCTAGTTTTCTGAAAATTTTTAAATTTATTAATGATTATAATGTCAAATCCTAATTAAAGAAATGCAATGTTAAATATTAAAAAAGACAGTTTTTCAATAAATAAAACCAAATGGCCTACAGAGATATTACACATAAGAAATAACACTTTTCTTCTGTCCTTGTTTACACTGTGTACCTAATACAAACGTAAATTGAAAGACAGAAATATCCTATTACATTTTTAAAAAGAAGAGCAGTAGTTTCAAAATGCTTAAGATGAGGAGAAAAATGCCTCATAGCATGAGGTTTTCAAAAGTCTGGAATACAAATGCATAAAAGAATCTTTTTCTTATAACCAGTGACGTTATAAAGGAACTTTAGTCCCAAAGAAAAGATTGTCATTCTTTTAAGAAATGGGTCTTCTCGAGTTATAAACTTTAACACCATTTTGCATCGAAGATCGAGAATATTTGGTGAGTAATGCACCTATGGTTTGCTTCTCTCCACACAAATCTCTGTGGGAACAATAAAACAATAAATGAATAACATGAGTATTTTAGGGAACATAACAATACTCACAGTACTATTTATTTATATATCTCTCCTCTGAATCTCATCTTCCCAACAAGCATAAAATATGTTTAGAAGTAGGGTAGGGAGCAGTTACTAAGCCTTAATTGACTAGGTACATTGAATGTATTATCTTCAAACTTCACAAGAAAAATATGAGTAATGTATTACTTAAAAAAAAAAAAATTTTTTTATTGATTTGAGAGCGAAAGAGAGGGAAAGGGAGAGAGAAATATAAACATTTATGAGAGAGAACACTGGTTGGCCGACTCCTACATGGCCCCCACTGGGGATTTGGCCCACAACCTGGGAATGTGCCCTGACCAGGAATCGAACTGGTGACCTCTTGGTGCATGGGTCAATGCTCAACCCCTGAGCCATACCGGCTGGACAAGTAATGTATTATTATTTTTTTTTATCCTGACCTGAGGACATTTCTGCATTCATCTTCAGACAGAGCGGGAGGGAGAGAGAGAGAGAGAAACATCGATGTGAGAGAGACACATCAAGAGGCTGCCACCCCCATGTCCCAACCGGAGCCGGGGACAAACCGCAACCAAGGGACATGCCCTTAGTGGGAACCAAACCCAGGTCTCTCTGGTCCATGGGCTGATGCTCCAACAACTGAGCCAAACCGGCTGGGGCCAAGTAATGTATTATTTAACCCCATATTAGATGAGGAAACTGAGGCTCAGGAAGTCAAGGATAAAGCCACATTTTGCAGCCAGCTCTACATGACTTCAAAGACCATGTTTTGTTTTTCCCATTTTATCATACAATCTCCAAATTAGAAATGCAAGCAATGTGATACAGTGGTGTCTAGACTCAAAGAACCTGGATAGTAGGCCACCTGTGTGAGCCTGTCAAGGTTACCTACCCTCCCCGAACTTCACCCCAAAAAAGGAGAAGACTGTAACTGTAACATAACGAGGAGAGAAAAGAATGGGAGGACATGAGAAGAGAGCAAGAGTTACATCATGTAGGGCCCTGAACAACACGGGAAGGAGTTGTGATTTAATTCTAAGCATAATGGGAAACCACTAAGAGAGTTTTAATTAATGGGAAAGCATAATCCATCCAAGTTTTAAATAATGGAGGCAATGAGTGATGATTATGGGAACTGAGTTCATAGAAGGTTCACTATATTACATTGTCACTTCTGAATATTTAAAATTTCCCAAAATAAAGTTTAAAAAGAGGGAGAGAACAAGGGGGAACAATAGAAGTAGGGAGACCAATTCAGAGTCAACAAGATTTGCTCATAGTTTGAACCAAGGAGTGAGAGAAGAAAAAGACAATGCTGTTTCCCAGACTTTTTGCTTGAGTAACTAGGTTAATGGTAATGCTGTTAACTGAGATGAGGAAAATGGGGTTAGGACAAGGGGATATCAACAGTTCTGTGATGAGCATGTTTAGTTTGAACTTCCTATTAGATTCAAGTGGGAATGTTAATGAGATTAATGTTAATGTCAGATATTCGAATGTTGATGTTGATATAAGAATCTGGAACTCAGGGAAAAGGTCACGTATGAAGATAAAAGAAAGAAAATGCCAAATTTAAATCCAGGCCTAGATAAGAGACTTAAGGGGAAAATGTAAACAGAAGAGAAGATGGCCAAAAACAAGGTCCTGGAGTACTGCATCATTTAGAGATCTGGGAGAATAGGGGGACATCAGCAAAAGAGACAGAAAGGTAGCACCATGGGGGAGAGGGAGAAAACTGGTATATTTCAAGTAGGAAGTAGTCCAGTGTATCAAATAATGCTAAGAGGCCAAGTAAACAGGGACAGACAATTGAGCCCGGAATGTAGACAGGTGGACGTCATTGGGTTAAGGAAAGAATGGGAGACAAAGAAGCAGAACGTACACACACTTTTAAAAGGACTTTTCTTGGGAAGGAGAGCAGAGGACATTGGGTCCAGTAGGCTGTTGTTACTGTTTTTTGAAGATGAGCAACACTACAGAATATCGTACATTGAAGGGAATAATCCAGGAGATGGGGAGACGTTGGCAAAGTGGGAAGGAATAACCAAGTCTTTACAAGGCTAGAAGAGATGGATGTGGTGCAGGAGGGCTGCCCGTAGGGACGGTTGTGCATTATACAGAAGGGACGGCAAAGGATGTGGGTGCAGACACACGGAGGCTGGCAGCTTTGGAGTGGGAAAGAAGACAGTTCATGTCTTCTCTTGTCTGCTTCTGTGTTCTCAAAACACAAGGCCACAGCTGAGGGCGAAGAGGAAACGGGGCACTGATGGTATGAAAAGAGAAAAGAAGATGTAAAGTGAGCTCCAAGGGTAGAAAAGTTTCATGAGGAAATGGTGCCTTGCCATGGGCCCTACTAAATACCACTTAAGTTCCTAAGTGATCCTGGCAAGCCCACTGCGTATTTTTCTCCAGGAAATTTTAGCTACCCAGGTGTAGGAACAGAGCAAGCAGAAAGTTGGGTTTAATTTTTGTAAATGTTTGCCTGGGAAGTATGAGAACATGGAGAGAGGGGGCCACCGGGGTAAAGCGTGTATAGTAATAGTTGGAGACATTGACCAGGGAATCCAATCTGGGTAAAAAAAAAAACAGGACTTGAGGGGTGAGATAGTAAAAAGGGAGTAGGGTTAGTGGATCTGAGGTCCCATGAGCAGTGGCTTCTGGGCTAACTTGTCTTCTGCAATCTGGCTTCTACAAGATGCTAAAGCAAGGCAGCAGGAAAGGTGACACGTGGCAACCAGAGAGGGGTGCTTGCCTTAGAGTCACAGTGGGATATAGTCTGACTGTCCCTCCGAGAGCTGCACTTGTGCAGGGAGGAGGGCAGGGGAGTGGTTTCAGAAGTGGTAAGATCAGTGGTTGTGGAGGACAACAGAAAAACAGCCTCCACTTGAGAAAGTTTCAAAGGAAGCAGTGTCCTTGGTAAAGACTCAAAAAAAAGTGTTCTAATAATAAATCCAAAACCCTATGCCACTCTTTATAAAAAGAGCAACCCTCAAAATTCACATTTAATAAATTACTTACTGAATATATGGAGCAATATCTTCTTCTGTCCACTTCTCCCTTAGAGAGAAGAGACTATTAAAACGCTCCTGAGTGTCCTCAGGTAAGTCCTCCACTTTTAGCAAAAATATGATTTCTGGTCTTGAGTGCCTATCCATCAAGGCCAAACCCTATTAAGAAATGAGAAGAAAAAGAGCAGTTAAAGTAATGGTCTATCGTTTAAATACGACTTATTCTTTTACCTTTAGGTTTAGCTTAGCCCAGGGCTTAAAAAGTCAGGCACATGAAACTTATACAAGCTACCCAGAGACATACAATAGTTTTGTTTTGTTTTTCAAAAAAAGAGATTTTTAAAACTTGACTTCTCGCCCTGGCTGGTTTGGCTCGGTGGTTAGAGCGTTGGCCTGCAGTCCAGAGACCCAGGTTCGGTTCCCGCTAAGGGCACGTACCTCGGTTGCTGTTAGTCCCAGGCCTTGGTTGGGCGTGTGGATGGCGACCACTCGATGTGTCCCTTTCATGTCGATGTTTCTCTCTCTCTCTCCCTCCTTCCCACTCTATCTGAACAAAAAATGGAAAAATGTCCTCGGGTGAGGATAAAAAAAAAACAAAAAACAAAAAAACTTGACTTCTCCTTTTTCTTCTGAAATATTGCTTCACACAATTTATCAAGACAGCTCCAGTTCAAGGTCACCAGGGACCTGTCATTGCCAATAACACTGGGCCCTTTCTTGGATTTATCTCATTAGCCCTGTTAATTTTTATTATTCCCTCTCTGAATCTCCATCTCTGACAGCACCATCTCATTATTTTCCTCCTAACCTGATGTTACAGTTCCCTGGGTATCCCACCCCCCTCAATTTGTCTCGCTGTCATAGTCCTGGGTAACCTCAACTAAACCCATGATTTTGATGACCATTTATTTACTTGTTAACAACTGTATAATTTGTATCTGCAACTCAAATGTCTCTTAGACCGAGCACCCGATCTCTAGATCCAAACCTACATATGAACTCATAGTATCTGTCTCCCAAACCTGCTCCAGTGCCTAGGAAGCCAGGAAACCGAGGCATCGCCTTAGATTCCATTATTCAAACCACACGCCTGAGTGGTTACTAAATCCTATAGGTGTTAAGGCTTCAGCATTTCTCTATCTATTCTGTATCACCTATTTCTTTGGCCAGTACTGCCTTAGTTATGATTATTTAAGTGTTGAGAGCCTGGACAAGTCTCCGTTTTCATCATCTAGTCAACCTTTTATCCATCCATGCATCCATCCTTATTGCTGTCATAGTGTTCTTTCCGAAAGGCAAAACTTATCAGGGAACTCTGCTAACTAATACATGGAATGGGCCCAGATACTCTCTACATAGAATTTAGGACCCTGGTGGCATCTTGTGTGATGTTTTCTCCTCAGCATTTAGCATGGTGCCTAAAATTAAAAGCAAATCCTTTCTCTTATTTAACAAATATTTATTTAGCATACACTACAAGCCAAGCAGTATGCTATGTACGGTGACCAAAATTCTATCCAAGAGGTGGATGATTAACCACATGATTAAACACTTTTCCAAAGCTAGGTGACGCTGCCACGAAGGAAAAATACAGGGCGCTATGGAAGAGTAGACCACAGGCACTTTCTTTATAGTGAAGGAAAGCCTCCTGATGAAGTGACTCAAAGATGGAGTAGGAGGTGGCCAGGTGAGATTAGGGAGAAGATCATTCTGGAACAAAAAGCTTGGGTGAAGGCCCTAGGTAGGAGAAAGCTTGATGATCTTGAAAACTTGAAAGAATGCTGGGTTTACAGTGAGTAGATGAGAAAGAAGCAAGAAGTGAAGGTACAGAGGAGATGATGAAAAGCCTTATAGGCCAAGGTATGAATTCTGGGTTTTATATCTTAAATACAATGGGCAGCCATTACAGTGATTTAAGCAAGACATCCATCTAACCTCTCTGGCATTTTTAAAAGATCATTCCAGTCGCACCACAGAGAATGGATTGGAGATGGGCAAAATTAAATAGTATGGAAGGCCTACTTAGGGATGGTATTGGTATTTATAGCCCGATACACAGGACAGTTTGAGCTTAGATGGTGCTGGTGGGAATGTAGGAAAACAGGCGGAGTGGGAGTCAGAATTAACTGTAAATGGGCCTGAGGGATTTCATCAAGGTGATAAAGATGTTCTAAAACTAGATTGTGGTGATGGCTGTGTCACTCACTAAATTTACTAAAAACCCTTTTTAAAGGGGTACATTTTGTGACATGTAAATTATACTTCAATTAAGTGTTGGGTTTTGCTTGTTTGCTTAAGGATTTTGTGAGAGAGTGCACAGTGCTCCCCTGATGGGTGACTAGGAGAATAAATTGGCTCCAAATTCAGTTTCAGCACAAGTTTCGTTTCACCGAGTAACTAAGGATGGCCTGCTGAGTCATGGCAGCAGTCACCATGACTACCTTACCTTCAGCTGGTCGAGCCTGGTTAGCATTCCTTCGGGAACACTCTGCTGCCACACTTCCTGAAACTCGGCGAGGTTGAACTTCACTGCATGCTGCAGCAGCATCTGCGCTGTGGCTCTGCAGATTTTGTCAGCGCTCAAGTCAAAGTAAACTTCACCTTGGAGAAGTGAATAAATAAATAAACCTAACCTAAGGAAAAGGTCTCCAATACTTTCCATATCGTCTTCACCGTTAAATCCACTTACAATGTTTCTTTTTCCTCCATGATCCCCAGAAGGAATTATACACAACTCACCTCCCACAGACCCAGAGTCCTGACTTTTAACAGGAATACACAGGGAAAGGCGTACTAGTATTGACATATGAGTTTACACCCATTAAAACACTTTCGAAATCTTACCTTCCTCTACATATCTCCTTCCATAACATTTCAGACAGTGTTCGATCATTTCTCTGAAAAATGTAAAACAGGAATTTGAAAAATTATGACATTTTTTATATAGTACATTTGAAATACCATTGTGATTTGAAACAGTAAGTGATTTTAGTTGCCAAGTAAAACTTGAGATTCCGAACTAACTAATATATACTGGAAGCTACTATATGCCAGACTTTATGCTACATATTTTTACATGAATTATGTCAGCACATATCTATCATAAAATAGCTAACCACAATTGATTCTCTATAAAAAATAAAATCAATAAAAATATTTAAAAAAAAAAAAACATGATGCACATTTACTCACCCCAGTGATCAAAACTCCCAAGTCTTTCTTGGTTGTGTATTTTTTAAATTTCTATCAGGTATCAAAATATAAGTAGTCTATGCACTGGGTTTAGTTCCACCCTGGAAAATAATGTTCTTCCCCTTAAGGAAATCTGGAGGGTCAGTGATTAAAATACTTACTCTGGCTCTAATGGTCCAAGTTCCTGCAGGCATACATTCAAAGGGACTTTAGTAAAAGACCAAGATTCAGAATCCACAAGCTGAGTTACATGATTCAGAAGTTTCATCTCATAATCAAACTCAAGAATCCTCCAAAAACCTACAAATTCAAAGTTATATTTATCAAAGAACATATTAAGCAAATTAATTGGCTAATAAACTGATAAAGTAGCAGCATGCTCTTGCCCAAGGCAAAAAAAAACACTGAAAGGCTTTGCTTTAAAAAAAAGTCTTCGCTTTCTTAATAAACAATGCTGCTTTTTTTTTTTAAAATCCTCACCTGAGAACATTTCTCCATATTCTGTTCAGATAGAGTGGGAGGGGGAGAGAGAGAGAGAGAAACATCGACGTTAAAGGGACACATCGAGTGGCTGACTCCCGCATGACCCAACCAGGGCTGGGGACAAACTGCACCCAAGATACACGCCCTTAGCGGGAACCGAACCCAGGTCTCTCTGGACTGCAGGCGGACGCTTTAACCACTGAGCCAAACCGGCCAGGGCAACAATGCTTCTTTTTATGCTTTTCTCCCAATCATTATAAATTGAGTTTTGAGGGAGATCGGGAGGTTTTTAAAGAGTATTTTACATATGACTACCACTGATTTTTTTTCAAGTGCTTTAATACTCAATTATCTCACAATAATCTTGTTCTAAATTGAAACCTGTAGCTGGTACAGTCATTTCATTAGAATGACATACAAATGAGGTGAAGGCCATGGGTTTGCTGTCCCACACCATAACCTCCGCTGGGGGCGCTGTCACGCTCATCGTTCTCATCCTGCAAAGGGGATCTGCGCAAAAGGAAGTCTAGCTCATTCAAGAGACAAGACTCAGAGCTATGATGTGAACCAGTGGCAAAATAAAGGCTGAACATCAAGATACCTTTCCCTATTCCCGTGAAGGATGAAAAACCATCTTACAATCGAAGGCACTGCCACTATCCCTGAAGAAACAAATCAAGTACACATCCACCACTTCCAAAGGAGAATGTTGTTATTCTTACTCTGAAAAAATAAAGGCAACCTTCAAAAGTAGAATGTGTGATGTAAAACTGAGGAAGAAAGCTAGAAATAATCTATGTACCTTTCCCTCCCAACACACACCAGTTATATTAAAAAGACGTTAAGTATTATCACAAGAAGAAACAGTCCCACCTTTCAATCAACTTGGAAATGCGATGAGGTTATGAAATTAATTCTGAAAGGGGAGTTTCAAATCAAGTTTGATTGGGTTCTATGCCTTATCTTATCAATAATTCAACATGTAGCCCTGGACAAGTCAGTTCTCCTTTTTAGGCCTTAGTTTCCTCACCTATTAAAAACAATGAAGGGATTAGACTACCTGATATCTAAGACCTTGCTCAATCTAACATGGTTCTTCTATTACCACTTAACCCAAAGAAAAAAGTTAAAGTCACTGGTCATCGACTAACCTCTTCATGTCAACATGATCATATATATTCTGTACCCACACTCCAAAATACAAATATCATCATCTGTGAGCCCCCCAAAAGAATAAACAATATGCAATAGGGTGGAGATGTCCAAAAACTTGACTCTTTTTTTTCTTATATGATGCTCAATTCCAACATTATTAATAACAATGATAAGTAATGCTACCTTCAATCTCACAAGCATTTAGAACTTGTAATTGGGCCATTATTTCTTCCTCACTGGCCTGAATTTGATCAAGTAAATCTTCAGTTGTATACTGAAACAAGAAAACAAAACATTTTAAGGCCTTTGAATAATATTTTTCAAGACTATTAAATTTGGTGGAATAAACACATTGAATAGATTAAGGCAATATTTAAACACTAGCTCAATTTCTTTTGTTCAAGTGTAATGATTACTACACGAAATCAGTGAATATCTTAGAAGAGAGCATAGGGGTACATCTTAGTGATGTTGGGATTTAATGATGATTTCTTACATATGACACCAAAACACAAGCAACAAAAGAAAAATCAGATAAATTAGACCTCATCAAAATGAAAAACTTTTGTGCTTTAAAACATGATCAACACAAAAGGACAAATATTGCATGATTCCACTTTTGTATATGGGATTGTTAGAGTAGTCAGATTCACAAAAACAGAAAGGAGGATGGGAGTCACCAGAGGCTGGGAGGCAGGGGAGTATAGGGATTTAGTGTTTAATGGGTACAGAGTTTCAGGTTGTGAAGATAAAAATTTCTGTAGCCCTGGCCGGTGTGGCTCAGTTGGTTGGAGCATCGTCCAGTAAGTACACCAAAAGGTCGCAGAGGCAACAGATCAATGTTTCTCTCTCACATCCATGTTTCTCCCCCCATCTCTAAAATCAATAAAAACACATCCTTGGGTAAGGATTTTTAAAAAGTTTTCTGTAGGTGGTGATGGTTGCAGAACAACGTGAATTTAATCAATGCCACAGAACTATCAACTTATGGTTAAAACAGTCAATGTTCTGTTAGGTACCTTTACAATTCTTAAAAAAATTAAATAAGTGCAAAGACAACCCACAGAATGGGAGAAAATATTTGCAAAGGAATTTGTATTTACACTGTATAAACAACTCTGCTACAACTTAGTAATGAAAAGACAAATATTAAAATTGGGCAAATATTAAAATTGGGCAAAGGAGTTCCTGAATAGACATTCTCCAAAGACATACAAGTCACAAAGCACATGAAAAGATGGTCAAAATCATTAGTCACTAGGAAAATGTACATTGAAACTACAATGATACCACTTCAAACCCACTAGCAGACATTAAAAGGAAAGATAAAAACAAGCATTGCCAAGGATGTGGAGAAATCGGAACCCTCATGCAATTGAAATGTAAAATGGTGCAGCCACTTTGGAAAACAGTCCAGCAGTTCCTTGAAAGATGATGCAGAATAAATACATGAACCATCAATCCCACTCTTAGGTATATATCCAAGAGAAATGGAAACAATTAAAGAGTAGAAACTACATAAATGCCCCCCAACAGATGAATGGATGAATAAAATGTGGTATGTCCATTAAACAGGGTAATATTCAGCAATAAAAAGAAAAATGACTGATACATGGTACAACGGGAATGAAACTTGAAAATATGTTAAGTCAAACAAGAAGCCAGTCCGGGAAGCCACATTATGATATGATACTGTTTGTATGAAATGTCCAGAAGTGGCAAATCAAGAGAGACAGGAAGTAGATTCGTGGTTGGAGCTTAGGGTTGAGGAGGAAGAGGGAAATTGGGAAAAAGAGAATAAGAAAGCAATAGCTAAAGCGTACAGGGTTTCTTTTGGGGGTGATGAAAATTTTCTACACTTCATCAGGATGACATGCACACCACAGTAAATGTACTAAAACACACTGAATTATAAACACACTTTGAAATGAGTGAATTGTTCAGTATACGAATTCCATCTAAATAAAGCTGACCCTCCCCCTAATCCAAAAATCAATCATTCAATAGAGAGAAAGAGAACTTTTAATATAAATATGGTCTTCAGAATACCAGTAGAGTTCCATAATTTTGAATTACATGAAAAATTTAAAATAAGTTTATTACTTGGTTTACATTTTTCCATACTTCCAGGAATTAGTTGATTCTGACTTTAGAGTAAGAATACTTTCCATAATGTATTTATGTAATACATAAGATCCAATACTTATCATAATGTCTTTCCTAAAGAGCCCCCTGATTATAACTTTTAATTGAATAAAAATGAATTTAACCTGTAAAAAACTATTTTTGCATAGTTAGGAACATGAGCTTTCAGCTACGTAAATGTCACCATATGTAGAATTTGCTTTAAAAAACTCCTGAAAAAGGAAAACAAAGAGGGAGAAAGCAGGGGACAGAAAAAAACAAGATGGACAAAATAACTGATAAATGTTCAACCGAGTGAAGAATATACGGTAGTCTTTCTGCTTTTGGCTACGTCTAAAATTTTCATAATATAAACTTGAAAATGCAAAAATGTCACCAGTAAGTGCTTCTAATCATAGTTCTATTTTTTAAATTCCAAATAAAAAAAATGAAAATAATAGTCTTACTTTTGAGCAATTGGAATCCTTTTCTTTTTGACTGTCAGGTCCTTCGTAGGTATTTTCCATCAAAAGTCTCTTTAACTTCTTTAATTTAGGTCTACATCTCCTTAGTTCCCAATAATTATTAGAAAAACCAAAGATCTAGAAATTATAAGTATATTTTAACCTTTTAGGGGCCATTCTAAAAGAAAAATCTCATACAAAATTTCAACCCACCCATCTGCCCTCCACAAGAAGCAAGCAAAGGGAAATTGTTATTCTGCTTTCTGTTGCTAAGGAACCCATCCGCCACCTCAAACAGGTGGATGGGCATCTTCAGGAATTTTTTTCAAACCCCAGTTAAGAAGATGCTGCCAACATCATGACAACCAATAATTGAGCTCCGTATCTCTAGTGTACTTTCAAAACTAGAGTATTCCCAGAAAACAAAGACCAGAATGGGGACAATTTTACAAACCAGATAGAAACAACTGAAAATGAAGACTTTTAGGCTGAACAACAACAAAAAAGAGACATTATCATAGTCTTCAAATAACGAATGAATGTTTAAGGGAAGAGGGGGTCCCCTGTTCTGTGTTATTCATGATGTCAAAATTAAACAGAAGTTAAGGGGGAGAGACTTCTATTCATTGTAAGAGCTTTGTACTGGTATTTAGAATAACAGCTAGTTCCTTCCCTGGCCAGTTTGGCTCAGCGGTTAGAGCATCAGCCTGCGGACCGGAGAGTCCTGGGTTCGGTTCCCGCTAAGGGAACGTACCTCAGTTGCAGTTTGTCCCCGTCATGTGGGTGTCTCTCTCACATTGATGTTTCTCTCTCTCTCCTCCTCCCTCTCTCCCTCCCGCTCTATCTGAAGATAAATGCAAAAATGTCCTCTAATGAGGATAAAAAAAAAGAATGACAGCTAGTTCCATATTGAACTGGTGAACCAGTGTGAGACCTACCACTCAAAGAAATCCAGCGGTTAGAGGTTACATGATACAGAAATCACTGTTACCCTTCTCTGTATCTCCAGAACTGGCCCAGTGTCTGGCACTTAAGAGGTGCCCAGTAAGTGTTTCACATGAAAGGAGAAAAGGCTGAAGTGGATTATCTCGAGGTGGCTTCCAATTCTAAAATGAAAGGTCAGGGGATGCTTCTGCTCTCAAACCAGTACAAAGCATGATTGACAAGACAAGGCCCAGAGCCTGATGTTCACTATAGAATTTTAGACCTTTAAAAAGAGGACCTTGCCCTGGCCGGTTTGGCTCAGCGGTTAGAGCACCCGCCTGCGGTCCACAGAGACCAGGGTTCGGTTCCCGCTAAGGGCATGTACTTTGGTTGCAGTTTGTCCCCGGCCCTGGTTGGTGGTGCGGGTGGCAGCCACTCGATGTGTCCTTTTCACATTGGTGTTTCTTTCTCTCTCTCCCTCTCTCTCCTTCCCACTCTATCTGAACAAAAAATGGACAAATGTCCTTCGATGAGGATAAAAATGAATAAACAAATAAATAAAAAGAGGAGCTTAAGGACCAAACCAGAAAGACTGAGGTCATCCATAGTTCACAAACTGGCAGCCTGCTGGCTCTATCCAGAGCACAGATGCTGGCATATGCTTTGGTATTAGAGAAAGGGGGGTTTAGCACAGAGTTTAAATTAGTGGCCAACACTGACAAATCATAGATTTTTGCCCCCAAATCTAAATTTTAAGCTTTATCGGGAAACAAGAAATCAGATCAGAAAAGGCTAGATCTGCTCTCCCACAAAGCCAAGTAGTGGCCCCTACCTTGGGGTGTTCTCCAATTGGCCACAGACCCCACCATTCCCTAATACTCTTGAGACTGCCATTTATTAAGACCAGGCGGCGTTGCTCATTTCTTACCTAGCTGTTTTAGGCAGGTGAACCTCAACTGCAGATTAAAATTTAGGTATTAAAATTGCAGATTAAAACTTTTAAGTTTTCTTCAGTCTCAGTACACAGAATTCTCATAACGAAAGCTCAAAAGCATTCACAGATATTGTTATATCCTCACACAAAAAAACTACATAACAGATATGTGATGAGAAAATAACATCTTTTACAAAACGATAAAATACCAGTGTATCTAGTTAATTATAATGAAAGACATAGCCCTATAAAAATCAAAATACAGTATTTTAGAAGTTATGTTCTAACAACATCATATAAACCACTGAGAGTTCCCAGTATTTCCCTTTATTTCTATTCTAATTCTATTTTTATGGATGTAGCTGGCCTGAAGTCATCCTGATAGACTCAAGGAGCTGTACTTTGTTACATGAGTAACAGTGTAGCCAGAATGGAGACGTTTGTTTGGTATCTGCCATTAGTAATCTCCAAAATAGTTAGGCAGTTGTCATACATGGTTATGGATGGTAATGAACTAAACCAGCTTCAAAGGTGAGAAATACACTTTCCTCAAAAATTCAAATGTCTTCATTTCTCTACCTCATAGATATTACCTAATGCACTAGTTAAGGTTTGAGGGATCCTCCTTTCGAAACATACCAACAGCAAAACTTACCAAGAATAGGTAAAACTCTTAGAATGAAACACCTAATAGCAAAATTTCTACACTACAGAAAACCGTCAACTTGTCCGGGACTGAAAAATTAAATCAGGAAAACAGACAACTTCACAAGACTACAAACAAAACAATGCTGAGAAATTTCAAATTTCACTAGAGAACTTTTCAGATTTCCTGTGACTATACATTACATACCTCAAGTTACTCATTAAAGGCAAGATTAGAACATGTATTGTTCTCACACTTCTATAACCAGGAGACAGGAAACAGTACCTCGGGGTGAATAATGTTACAGTGGGTTTCTTCCATCTTCAGCTGGTCTGGAGTTTTACAACCAGGAATTAAAAGCAACATATTGGAAGTGTCTGCGATCTTCAAGTCATACGTTTTGTCTTTACTGCACAGCACAGCCTGCTCATCTTTATCACCACGAATCACCATACTGCAGGAAAACGGGGAAAGAAAATACACGATCTATTGAAACGCCAATGGACATCATCATAAACAGTTCCCAAATCCTCTAGGCTGATAGAATCTAAAACTAAGTCTTGATGCTGTGTCATAGCCCTCACACATGGTGGACTCCACAGAGCAAGAATTGGTCCAGCTGAGAGCCAGAGGGGCAGCAGGTGGCCTCATTAAGGAAAAAGAACTCACCATGGGCAACAAAGAGTGAAAGAGGCCAAATGTAGCCATACAGCATCGCACAAACTGCTGGGAGGAGCACAAGACAAAGCATCCAGAAGCTTCAGGCAAGATGGCATAATTTTCTAAAACATACTAAAGCAGTACTTCTCAAACTTATGCACAGGCATCTTTGGGAATCCTGCTAAAAAGCAGATGGGGATTCAGTAGGACTGGGATGGCACCTAGAATTCTGCATTTCTAACAATCTCCCAGGTAACGTCCATGCTGCTGGTCCTGGATCCCACCCGAGGTTCTTCTTGCTTTGTTCTGAGAACCCCTAATAATCAAAGGGGCACACCCTGGCCTAACCAGGGTCACACAGAAATTGGGACCTCGTAAAAAGAAGTCTGTGTGCTGAATAAAAAAATATCAAAAAGATATGTTTACAGACTGGCCTAAATAAAGTCTCTGACAAAGGGTCACAGGTGGAAAAAAGCAAGAAGGAAGAAGGAAAGGCTAAAAGTAAAGAGGAAGAAAAAGAAAGACTAAAGACAAAGATGCTGGAGATGACAAGACAGTTGGTTCTAGCAGTTTTCCTTGTCTGGAAAGCATTTAACTCCCCCTGTATACAAGTCATTTCTTTTAAAGAATTTAAAAATCTGAAATAGAAGCCTGTGTACGTAGTTTTTAAACTAAGCCTTTGTTTAAGTGAAAAGAATAAGAATACTAGCCTCCTGGTGCTAATAACGTTTAATACTCCCAAGTACCCATTCTTTAATATTTATTTCTACATTTCACTAGCCCTGCTTTGAAATATTTTGTTTAGAACCATCCCGCACACACATGCACACATTTTCAGGTTTATGGGTTGTTTTTTTCTGGGGTTTGCTAGTTAAGTTAACTATAACTGGGGCAAGAGAAGGTCCTCACACCTGAAGTCCTTTCTCAAATCCCTGCCAACATAGCTGGGATGAAACCCATGAGTGAAGCTCTGGGTCAGTTCCCTGCAAGATACTTAATGGCCAGCATACGAAGACTGGCCAGTTAACTATAATAGTGTTTGATAGGTGAAGCATGAACACTGAAAGACAGCCTAAAGGATTCAATCTAAAAGAACCTACAAGAGAGCAAACCACCTGATATATAAAATACAGGTGGAGAAACTTACAATGCAGCAGAGAATCAAACCACAGCTTGTAATTCTAACTTCCAGAAGTTGGGACTGCACAAAATTGAGAGAGACAAAGACAGGATTTTTTTTTTTTTTTAATGGAAAAAAAAGGATTTCTCCTTTGATCGTTTTTAAACCCATGGTCTTGCAAATGGGTAGCTGACCTAGATTTAGAGACAGCTTCAGATCCTCACTGAGTGATCCCAATCAAGGCTGTTTTTTTTTTATTTTATTTGTTTTGTTTTTTGAGGGCCTCCCTCAATTACCAAGTAAAATGGCTTTAAATGTATTCCCTACAGGTCTACCTATTGCCTGAGTAAAATAATTATTAGAACGCAAGAAGAACTCTATAAATGTTAGCTATTACCATTGGATTTCAAGGTAGAATGGCCAAGGATTCTGTGCAGTCCTTGGCATCACTGTAAACATTTCCACAATTTCACTTAGGTTCTATCTCCTGAGCTGTTTCCGCTGACACAGGGCTCCAAGATCAGCTGGAGTAGTCCTGCAGCAGTCCTCCAGCTCCCTGCCCGCCCAGCAGTGGCGTGGAATCCTAGGAGAAAGGCAGCGAGCTGGGGATCAAGCCACCGATCTGCCGTGAGCGCCCCGCGCCCCGCCCCTACCCCGCAAATCAATGCACCTCCCTGGCCTAGTTCCCCATCATGCGTTTCCCGCAGAGAAGACCGGAGGGCGGCCCGGCTCACCTGCGTCCGGCCTCCAGCTGCTGGCACAGCGCGGGCTCCAGCTCCAGCAGGCAGAAGTCGCCGGCGGCCGCGGCGCTGGCCCCGGGGCGGAAGCCCAGGCACTGCACGGCCGGCAGCAGCTCCGCGGGGTTCAGCTTGGCTATCTGCAGCGTCGCGTCCACCTCGTCGCGGGTCCTCCTCATCGCTGCGGGGGCGCGGGGTCCGCGGAGAGCGGGCGCGAGGACGAAGTCCCGGAGCTGCGGCGACTGGGACACGCAGGAGCAGGACACGCTGCAGCAGGACCGCTCCTAAAGCGCGCCAAGGCGGTGGGCGTGTTTCCGGGGCGGAGCGCCGCGTCCCGGGACGGTCCCCAAGCTGTTCAGGGCGCCAGCCCGGCCGTGGTCCGCTCTCCCCTGGGGCAGCCCCGGCCGTTGCAAAGAAACACGTTTTTCCGGGGCCGTCTCGATGGAAACTTGGGGAGCAGAGCTGCGACCCTGCGGGTGCCAAGCGGAACCCTTACCCACCCCTCCCCCTACCTCCGTTAGTTTCCCGCCAATACCCCCATTTCCTCTCCAGCAAAAAACAGTCTCATCTTCTGCCAGTGACAGGCCTTGGAGTAGCACTTAGTATGTATAATTCCACGAACCCTTCACCACGACCCTGTGAAGCGGGCCCTTGGTCACCCTATTGTGCAAAGGAGGAAGCAAGCGCCTTGCCGGTGTTTGCACAGCCAAGAGGTGGCCAAGTCTGATTCCAGCCCAGCCCAGGGCTCTGACAGCATCCTGCTGGGTTTGGTGCAAACACCGTGGGCCGGGAGCGAGGCCCTGGTCTCACTTCTTTGGATCTGGGATCATATCTAGGAGACAATGGCTTGGACTAGACCCATCCATTGGTTGAGTACCTAGTCTGCGCCGGTGGGACCGGTGTCCAGAGGAATGCAACCTTTCCGGGGACGGGAAGGCCCTGCATTCTTCAGTGGGAGACAGGGAAGCTCGCCCCTGTAAGATGTGTGTTTGCCCCCTGTGAGTTCTCTAAGGCGTCTTCTAGACCAGATCTTACAGTGACCTGAATACAAAGTTTTAAGAGAAGAGCTCATCATATATGCACATACATGAATAACTTGTCACAGCAAAATGTGCTAAACTCTCCAAGGGATGTTTGCAGGCCCCGTTAGAGACTGTTGCTGCCCATGAGAGATGAAGCAGCCTGGGAGGAATATTCCATTTAAAAGGTGGCAGCCTCACCCTACTCTGTGTAAATCACTTGGGTACAAATTTTTAAAAATGAGGTGGGTGGGTGAATGAGGGGATGAATGCAAGGAACATGAGCAGGCATTTTTCTTTTAACTTATTGTTGAAATTATATGCAAAGACAGAGTAGAGCATCCCAGGGGGCTGGGTAGTGATTTAGTTGGTTTTTATGAGCGACTTCTTTATTAACCTATATTAGTAAAGCGGAATGCATAAGGAATATGGTGGAACAAGAGCTGACTATGAAGGCATTTGCCTGATGAGAATTTTTGTTTAGGAAGAGAATCAACTATTGTGGATGCTCTATTAAACGGGAAACATGCCTTACAACCGGAAGCGGCTTAGTCTAAGGAGAATGCTCCAATTTCCATCAGACAGCCCTGCCTTGGAAACCCAGCTCTGCTGTCACTCGCTTTGTGACTAGAACAGTTTGCTTCATTTCCTTCAGTCCAACTTTCTCATCTGTAAAAAGGAGATAATACTACCTACGTTCTAAAATGCATGTAAAACAAAGGATGTTTTAATAAATGGCAGCTTTTTGATGTTGTTATTTGTGAATTAATTCTTATATATTAAGTAACTTTATTATTAATTAATTAATGACATCAGATTATTGCTATTTCAGCAGGGAGCTAGACCTGGGTTCCTCTCTTAAAATAGAGTAATGAGATTCTCTGGAGCATTTGCATCTTGCTCCCTGCAATAGGTAGTCAGTTTGGATCAAATAAAGTCTTATAAAAATATTTTTAAAAATAGAATAATCATAACTTTTATTAATTCATTTTTAAAAGCAGGTTAATGGATATTTTTTCTAAAGTAAAAAAAGAAATGTCGCCCTGGCCAGTTTGGCTCAGCGGTTAGAGTGTCGGCCTACGGTCCAGAGAGACCTGGGTTCGGTTCCTGCTAAGGGCACGAGTATCTCAGTTGCAGTTTGTCCCCAGCCCTGGTTAAGTCATGCGGGAGGCAGCCACTCGATGTGTACCTTTCACGTCCATCCCTCTCTCTCTCTCTCTTCCTCTCTCTCTCCCACTCTATCTGAACAAAAAATGGAAAAATGTCCTCGGATGAGGATAAAAAAAAAAGTCTACATATGTTTCTTAAATGTTTGAGGCTTGCTCAATTATTCATCTGGAGTCAGGAAAAAAGAAAAAATCATTTAACAGGTACACTAACAGTTACAGAAAAACTTCAAAAGAAACAACCATACTAAAATTATGCATTTGATTATGGTGTTCATATATTGTGTTTCACATTATGAAAGGAGAATTTTGTTTAATAAACCATAGCTCACATAAGAATTACATATGTGCACCTTTTTGATGTTTTCTCTATTCTTTCTTTTTTTCCAATTTAGTGAAGAGCATGGTGACGTCCAGGCATTCCAAGAATGTTAAATGTCACATAACCATGGCCTTGGTTAGGGTGCTCCTGTACCATTACTGCGACCTTCTAAGAGGTTTTCCTGCCTTCCATCTCCCTTCCCAACAATTCCAAGACTTTCTGATAAGTGCAATTAATATCTCCAGAGAGATGACAGATAATCCATAGGTAACAGTCAACCACAAATCAAAGATCACTTCCCTGGTTTCCAAATGTCATTCCCATTTTTATTGATACATTTAGTTGGCAGCCTCTCACATTAGTGCCTTCACTTGGAGAGTAAGAATTATTGCCATAAAAATGGCAAAGTAGAAGTAGAAGCCCTGAAACATTCTCCCTGCAGAAAATCAAACAGTATCACACACCTGGGATAAGGGCAGAAATTAATGCCACCCTCAAAAACTTAGGGGTGCAAGGGTAGTGATTCTGCTCATGTGTCCATTTAATTCACCTGAGTGGCCCCTGCAGCTGTTGCATTGAATGTAGTGTTTTGCCTCAAGCAGATGAACACAGCCTGGAGTACATGGTATGCAAATTTAGATTTGATATATTTAACCTCATCTCTGCCATCTTTTTTTTTTTCTCTATTTACTGAGCACTTTTGTTCTTTTTCTTGCTTATTCTCTTTTATTGAATTGATTTTGTTGGCTTGATTTTTTTTTTCTTCCTCCTCTAGCAATTTGGAAGATATATGGCTTATCCTGCTTCATCTATTACTGCTTTCCCTCATTCTTTTCGGTGCCTCCTTGCATCATGGGGCACACAGTCCTCTGTGAGGTCTTTATTGCCACCATGATTCCTCCTGCTGTTTGGGGCTCTGTTTGCCTGGCATGTTCTCCCCTTCTTTCTTTGCCTGATTAACACCTGTTCATTCTCTAGCTGAGCACTGTCTCATAGAACCTTCTGAGATGTTGGGAAAGTTCTGTATCTGCCCAGTTCAATTTGTTAGCTACTAGCCAAATGTGGCTTTTGAGTGCTTGAAATATGAGTAGTGTGAATGAGAAATTGAATTTTAATTTAATTTTGGTTTATTTAAATTTATAAATAGGAACACGGGGCTAGTGGGTACTCTGTGTTGGACCACTAGGCTATAGGTTGCTAGTTGCTTCTCAGAAATCATTCTCTGACTTCCCTAATCAGGTCAAGTCTCTCTAATATACTGTATGCTGTCAGAGCAGCAGGTACCTCTCATTCCTAGATTTTAAGCATGTGATTGCTTTAAGTCTGTTATTGTCTCTAAGACTGTAAAGCTGTCAAGTTCACTAGGATATGATTTAGGTCATCATTAAACAAAGTGCCCAGTGCATAATGGATCTTCATGTATATATTTGCTGAACAATTGAATGAATTGTAATAAAATTTACTTCTAAGCAGGGCAGAAAACATCAAAAGAGATTTTGTATTTATCTTTAATGTATAAATGTTCACATTAACACTGAGAGCATATTCATGTATTAAATGTGTATAATTAAATGCATTAAAAATATTTTCCTCAGTATTATAAAACCCAATGTACAGACTAACAACTGCAAATGGACAGGTGATAAATCATCATGAATAGAGTAGAGAGAGGAAGGTGGGGAAAGGGAGAAAGCAAGAGTTGTTCGTTCTATTTTGTGGCACAGAATGAAGGAAGACAAGAGCACAAGGAGGCCAGTACGAGCCCAGATGAGTGATGAAGGTGGCTGGGTTTGAGGAATGATTTTTTCAGATAGAATGGACAACAGAGGCTATTTGATTCAACGTGGGGGCTAGGAGAGGGGAAAGGACTGATCCTAGTTCCTGTGTGCGCATTCCTCTCATCTACAGCACAGTGTAGGAAGGGTAGGAACAGCTTTGAGATGGGATGAGTTCTGGTTTTGATATGGGGAGATTGAGAGGCCATGGAAATATAAAGGTGAGGACATGCCTTGGACTTCGATCTAGAGATGATGCAATTGTTCTCAGGGTCCCAGGATTGGAGGGTCCATGACTCGCTGTGCGTTCTTAACTTCCTACAGGAAAAGATTCAAATACGAGCCAGTATAAGGTTTAAAATGAAGGTGAGTTTGTTTATTTATTTATTTATTTATTTATTTATTTATTATCCTCACCCGAGGACATTTTTTTGTGTTTTTTTTTTGTTCAGATAGAGTGGGAAGGAAAAGAGAGGAAGAGAGAGAAACATCGACGTGAAAGGGACACATCGAGTGGTTGCCACCCGCATGACCCAACCAGGGCCGGGGACAAACTGCAACCGAGGTACGTGCCCTTAGCGGGAACCGAACCCAGGACTCTCCGGACCGCGGGCTGACGCTCTAACCGCTGAGCCAAACCGGCCAGGGCTGAAAGTGAGTTTATTAGTGAAGCAGCGAGAGAAAGAATAGGCTACTCCACAGACAGAGCAGAACATGCGTCCTCTGTTGAGGTTCATCTAATCAAGGGTAGGGCGTTCAATAATGGAGAGGAATATGCAGGATCTTCCTGGGGAAGAGGTGGAGATTTCTCAGGGGAGCTCTGCTGGCCATTTTGTGTCCTTATATGGACTTTTCGTTTCCGATCATGGTGGTGCTGGGTCCATCGTATTGCGTGCTCCTGTATTACAAGTG